CCGAGGCTCCCTGTGCGCCGGAAGCCCTCCTTCCGGGGAACGACGAGGCCAGGAGTGAGTTGCCGGTCCAAAGACCCAAAAAACCGGCGCTCCCCGCCCGAGGCTCCCCGTGCGCTGGGGGGACAAATTTTTTATATATACAAACATGTACTAATAAAAAATTCCTTCAAGGCAATACGAAGAAAGTCCGAAAATGAGAATAATTTGCCTCAGTTTTGTAATCCTCAAGCTAGGGGATGAACTGGGAAACCTCAGGGAGGACATGATAAGCTAAGTAAAAATTCTTGTACCTTTCATTGGATAGATACATTTACCCTAACTTTTTATTCCCTTGAGCAGTGTGCTTTTAAAGTTTTTCACATGGCCTTGAACCTTGAACCTTGTACCTATACTGGGCCCTCGGAGATGTGAGTTTTAAAAAACTGAAAAATACCTACAAGGCAGCACTCAGAGTCTAATCCAGCTTGCTGCCTGGTTTTGTAGGGCTTTCAGGCCAGGAATTGTTTTTGCATTTGTAAGCAGTTGAGAACAAAAGAATATTATTTAGTCGTGGTGAAAATTACATGAAAATCAAATTTGAGGACCCATGAATAAAGTTTTATTGGGCAACAGCCGTGTTCGTTTGTTTGCATACTATCAGAGGCTGCTTTCACACTTGGGGCCAGAGGCAGGATGTCCTCCTGAAAAACCTAAAATGTTTACTCTCTGGCCCTTTACAGAAAGTTTACCAACTCCCAGGCTTCACTAGTAAAATTAGAGTTATTTTCTAGATTATTTTTTACCCTAGGCACTAGACAAAATTATTATTATTAATATATATATATTATTATTAATATTATTTTACCCTAGGCACTAGGGTAAAATTATTATTATTAATATATATTATTATTATTAGTATAATTTTACCCTAAGCACTAGACAAAATTCTAGTGCTTAGGGTAAAAATGCTAAGTAGATGTAGAGCTGTTACATAAATGGTACTGAGCAGCACGCCAGTCTCCTAATATTGTGCTGTACAGTTAAGAATCCATTAGCCCTCTGTGACTAGAGGCTACTATATTATTGCACAGTGCAGATAAGGAACATTTCCATCACTGGTTTAAATTTTGTTAGACATTGCTGCATAATAGTAAATGCATAGCACTTTGTGGTAGGCACCGCTCTTAAAGCGTCTCAAAAACTGCTTGAAGCAAGGATTATTACCTCCATTCTACAGATGAGAAAGCTAAAGCACAGGGAAGTGAAGGAACTTCTTGCCACAGTCACCCGCTGCTGTCAGACTTTGGAAGTAAGACGGGGCAGCCTAGGTTCCAAGAACAAAGTGGAGAGTGAGGAATGTGCCTAACTGCAGTACACTGCCAAGTAGCAGGAGGGGCTTACTTGTGTGATAGCGACGTGGATCCATGGATTTTTGAAACTGAAAGTATAGAAAGTTGTGTAGCCTGTAATAGCTCCATTCCTTCCTTGGAGGAATCTAGAGATGTGAACTGCATTAGCTTTTTAGGAACCTTTCTGTCTTCATTAAGATATGTTAAATAGATCATTTGAATTGTGAGATATCTTCATAGCAGTATTGACCCCTTCTAATTAATGAAAATTATTTTGGCAGAGTAAGCTGTCAACTGGGAATTTTGCCTTTATAGCAGTTATATATTTTTATTATAATTATTCAAGCAAGCATATTGAGTCCTAGCATCTTTTTAGTAAAATAACTAGAGATTTAGTCTGAAATATTTTGTGCAAGGAGACACAATTACTTTTTTGTGTGTGTTGGAATTAGTGTTGCCATTGAGTTGCTGTGTCATTTAAGTGGGGGCTATATGTGAGACTATATACAAAGGCTGGTGTTTTCCATCATAAAACTTGAATACTGAGTAAGCATTTTAAGGTGGACACTTTAGGCCTTCCCTATACTGAGTATCATTCATTTCTTGGTTTTCAGGACTACATAGCCCTTCATGTGTTGGGCACTGTAGAAATATTTTGTAAATGCTAACACTTAATCTACACACTCTTGTTGCAGATAAGGAAGTGAAGCACCCATGAGGAAACCAATATGTTAAATAACTTGACAGAAATGACCGTTAGTAAGTGGCACTGAGCTTGAGATGCAGGCAGTCGGCTTCAGAGATGTACTCTTGCCGGCTTGTTTTGCTGTTTTGCCAGTGGCTGAGCACTGTTGTTTTAACTATACTTCAGAGATTTTGTGTGCTTGTACTAGTCAGTAAGATCCAAAATGACAAGTGTGGTTCTGAGCCGTTCTAGGTAGACTCTTGTTCAAATCCAGAGACTGCCACAGTGGTCTGACTCTGTAACAGTACTTGCCTCAGGTAAATACCTCCTCCTACTTCATGGTTTTTTGGTTACCACCAGAAGTATTTCAGGGCACAGATGACTTGCTGGCTTTTTCAATTAGTCAATTCTGTCATGAGTGTCAATAATTTGAGAGGGTGGATAGGTGTTGGGGGTCTTGTGCAACTTGACCTATACCTAGGAGGAATTTTGGGAGCTTCGGTACAAAGGTATAGTTAAAATTAGCCCGTATTTCTCAAGAAGTTGATACAGCACTTCTCCTCATTGTTGAACTTGATCTGGTTACTGTGAACTTCACTGTTGTAACTTGGGGCTCAGCGTTCTTAAATTGATCAAAGCAGTCCTCCAAAGTTAGACCATGTTGTCATTGCCTCTTGCCTGTCTGCTTAAGAGTACATATGTGCATGGGATTGTATTTCTAGCATAATGGATCTAGATGTTTCTCATCAGCTTGACATTTCTTTGTTGGAATGAGAATGTTTAAAAATGTATTTTTGGGGGCTGGGGATTTAGCTCAGCGGCAATGCGCCTGCCTAGCAAGCGCAAGGTCGTGAGTTCGGTTCCTGGTACCGGAGAAAAACAAAACAAAACAAAACAAAAAAAGTATTTTTGTGCTGCAGAATGAAATATTGAATTTGGAAACCAGATTTATAAAAATAGCATTTATATTAATGTTATGCATATTTTTGGCTTAAAATATCTCATTTAATATTTTAGAAAATTTAGAATGTAGAAAAGGCTAAGTGGGGTGGTGCATGCCTATAATCCCAGCACTCAGGCGGCTGAGGCAGGGGGATTGCCATGAGTTCAAGGCCAGCCTGAACTACATAGCAAGACCCTGTCTCAAAAAACAAATAAACGAAAAGAATTTTTAAAAACTACTTAAAAAATACTAGAGATATTTACAACTCTAAAAGTTACTTTGTTGTTTTAACAATAAGTTGAATGTCATAAAACTTCACATTTTAAGCATTCTAATTTTTTTGAATCCTAAGCATGACATGTCTTTATTGCAAATTGTATTTTAATTCTGTGTTTCCTCATTTTCAGGCTGAAATAGAACTATTTGTGAACAGGCTTGATTCAGTGGAATCTGTTCTTCCTTATGAATATACAGCGTAAGTTTTTCAGCTTACTATTTATGTGACTCACCAGAATTTTTTGTGCCTAGAACTCTATTCTCTCCACAGTTAAGAGTAAATATGTATGCATCTAAAAATGTATGAGGCCTGAAAACATTTTTTAAAATGTGTTTTGCCAAGATTAAAGTGTGATCCTCTTCCCACGTTGCTTTCCAATACAAAATCTGCAGTAAAATATTGGATTCTCTTTTAAAATCCATCTGTAGCAAAGTCCATTTTTTTTCCTTAAAAAATTTTAATTATTAAATACGTCATACATTTTTAAATGAAATTCTTGTCTCTCCCATAATCAGTTCCCTGAAAGAACTACTACTTTGACATCAACATTTCCACATCTCTGCACTTTGCTTTGAATATTCTAATACTGTATTCATACTTACACAGTTTGATTTTAAACAAAAGTAGGCTTATACTGTTACGTTTGGTTTGTACCTTGTCTTGTGCACTGAATATGTTGTAGATACCTTTCCACATTATTGTGCAATGACTTCTGTCTGTTTAGTGGCTGTTTATTATTCCATCCCAAAAGTTGCATATATTTCGTGATCTGTCTGCTTACTAATTCCCTGTTTATCAACATTTTATTTCTAGTTTTGTTGATATGAAAAGCGCTGCATCAGAAACTTATGTTCATCTGAGTACTGTATTTCACACTAGCTGTACAATAGTTCCTAAATTTTAGTTGGATTCCAATTTCTACTGTACTTAAAGAGTTTTAAGAGAAAACATATGTATGTTATAAAGAAAAGCATACACAAAAAATAAGACTATCCTGTAAGAATCTGTGTGCCTAGATATATGTAAGAGAGTACAAAACTCATGAGTGAATGGACTGTAATTTATATAACTGTCAGTCACAGATACTTTATCTAGTTATTATTTCTTTTGGTAAGTAAACAACCATCTCTACTTGAATCTTTGAGGCTATTAAAAGAATTCAATGGAACTTTTATATTTAGTAGATAGAAGGTGTTCTTTCTAGTCCATTTTTACCACGAGATTTATCTTCTCTTTGGGACGCTCACTAATTTGTTACCATTACTCTGCTGGTCTCACCTATTCCCCATATTGTTGTAGGGTGAACAAAGAATTACTCTTCAATATTCTGTGGCAAGGTTGAAATTATGCTGAAATGTTTAAACAATTTATTAAAATCAATTAAAAATACAAGGGGGTCATAGCACAGAGAGAATCTTACAGGTGACTGAATGTACTTTTTCACGGCTGTGTTCTCAGGGGGTCTGTTTAGCCGTGCTCATATCGGGACGTGGTGGTCAGTATATCAAGGAGAGGCAGGTAGACTGTACACATCTTGCTGACATGTCATTTCTAAGTAAAGATTTGGATCAGCAAGTTATAACAAAGGAGATAAATTCTGAAAAATTCACTTGAAGAATATGGATGTAAATGATTTCATAATTTGAATGAAAAAAATAATGTGTCAGTTAAGTCCCATAATTTACACTTCAATGAAAGTATTATTTAGAAAGTATATATATAATGAAAGTATTATTATTTAATAAAAGTAGTATTTACAAAGTATTATTTAGAAATTAGAATATTCTAAGGTATAATTTGGAGTGTTTCTGTTGTTTTAGAGAGTTGTGGCCCAGGGGATTTCAAAAAAATATGTTTCCTACTCATCTACAAGAGCTACTAAAATGATCAGTAACTAATCTTTCAAGAGTGACCAGATGTTTGATGTTTCATTGTATGCTTTATATTTAAAAACATACACTCTTCCCTCAGATTTGATTTTTGCCAGGCATCAGAAGGAAAACGTCCATCTGAAAATCTTGGTCAAGTATTATTTGGAGAAAGAATTGAACCTTCTCCATATAAGGTTGGTATTTAGTGTTATATAATTATTTAGTCACTTTTTTTTTTTTGGCTTATGTTTTTTTGAGAATGCCTGAATTAACCTAGCTGACGTAGCTAAGGAGCATTTCTCTCTTTTGCATCCAAAAATAATTTCTTAATGCAGCAGTTTCAAAGGATCTCTGTCCTTACAGCATATCACTGAAAAGAGTGTCTTAGTGAACATTCTTACATGTAGTGTTACAAATAAGGTGGTGGGCTAAACAGATTGCCTCCACTCCATCCACCTGACAGGGAGGCCTGGCTCCCAGCCTACCAGTCATCAAGAGTTGTTCCAGCTGCTCTGTGTCACCTCCCCTTTTCGAGCACTGTCCTTAGACTACTTGCCCTTAGACAAGCATTAACACTGACCGGGTATCCTGCTTGGGTTTTCTGGAAGTTAATCTTTCTATTGTGATCATTGAAAGTATACTTGGAACATGTTGGATACACTTTTTAGCACACCAGTTAAGCCAAACTCAGCACAGTGTAAGGTAGTCTTTCCAGTACATTTGTCTCCCACCATTATCTTCCCTTTTAAGCCTGTTACCCTTTCCTGTTGCCCAGTCCCCCGTTCTGTTTGACTTCTGTTCTCCCACTGCACAAAGAACAATGGTCTTTTAGAAATGCTCTTTTAGAAAACTTAGTTATAATAACATACCACATAAAAAATGAAATAGTACAGACGAGTATAAAATGAAAAGTACATCTCTTCCTCTAGTTCCTCTTTAGTTTCCTGTTGTGCACACAAGCTGATATAAAATTGGATTTATTTATCTATATTTTAATCTATTATCATATACTTTGCATTTTCCCTTTTACTTTAGCTGACCACGTGAGAACCACTCACTTTAATGGCTGTAACTTGACTATGGGTTTTTCTCCCCAGCCCGACAGCTGCTTCTCCTGGCTTCCTGTTCTTGTCGCCCGTGTCTGAGACCTCATGCGTTGCTATCTTGACTCCTTTCTCACTCAGCGTGTGCACGCACACGCACACACATGCACACACACACCACCACCGCTGTGGCGCTTTATGACATGACTGTCTGTGCAGGAAACTCTTGGGCCTGTGTCGCCTCACAAGCCATCTCATTCCCTCCAGCACCTGGACCTGCACTGGAGGCCCTGGAGGGAGAGACATCATGGTGCAAGCCAGATTGCCTCAAGATTATAGTTTCCAACCGTAAATGTGTCATCCTCAAATATTTTAGACTGGTGTTTTCTGTTCTCAAAATGCTAATAATTTTAAATAGTCAAACTTGGAGAGAGGTTTTAATTCCCAAGTAAGGAATTAAGGGACAGGGTAGGCTCTTTTAAGACCAAGGCACAGGAACTCAAAAACTTGGGGCTGAGTTATCCCATTTTTCTTTGCAAACCAGCCATAAATGTATTGAGCAGTATTTTTCACTTCACTTTTTATTCTTTTGTACTTTCTTTTCTTTTCTTTTTTTTCTTTTTTTCGTCTTTTTGAGACAGGGTCTTGCTATGCAGTTCAAGCTGGCCTTGAGCTCACTTTGTAGCCCAGGCTGGTCTCGAATTTGCAATGATCCTCCTGCCTCAGCCTCCCAAGTGCTGGGATTACAGGCGTGCGCCACCATGCCCAGCCCTTGTACTTTATTTTCAAAGATTACTTTTACCTTATTTTAGATTTACTCTTTAGCTGACCACATGAGAACCATTCATTTTAATGGCTGTAACTTGACTCCAGGTTTTTCTCCCCAGCCCAACATCTGCTTCTTCTGGCTTTACAGCAAAAGCAATGGTAACAGTCAGCAACAAAATAAAACTCCAAAACTACTTTGTCATCTTCTGTGTCTGACTTCTGTGTGCATCAGGACAACGAGAGTGTCAGGCATTGTGTGTACTGCATGAAGCAGGGTCCATACTATGTAGGCCCATAATAACTGAAGTCTAACCACTCATTTCCTTCATTCACTTGGCTAACAAGTTGTTGGCTGACTTGTGTGTACCAGACTCTGTTGTAGATGTGGGATATAGCAACGAACAAGGCAAGAATCTCTGCCCCAATGTATCTTCCGTTGTGATGGGGAAAAGGAAGCAGTATAAACACTAACGTTGCAGTGTTATTTACTGAGGAAAAAAATACTGAAAGTAAAGCAGGGAAATTTTGCCACTGTAAATATGCTTACTGAGAAGGTGACATTTAAAAATGTAAATTTAGGGAGTCTCACTGAGAAGGTGACATTTGAAAAAAAGACCTGAAGCAACTAAGGGAGTAAGCCGGGTGAATACCTAGGGGAAGCCGTTCTAGGTGAAGAGACCAGCAAATGCCGGGGTCCCGAGGTGTGAGTTTGCCTGGTGTGTTCAAGGTACAGAAAAAAGTCAGTACAGCTCGAGCAGGTGAGCAACAGAATAGTCAGAGGTGAGGACAAAGAAGTAACAGGACTACTTCATAGAGTGGCTCATAGGCCACTGCAGAGCCTTTTGACTTCTACATCTGAGCAAGGTGGCGAACACTGGATGGCTTTGTGTAGGCTTGGGTTTCACTACAATCACTGTGGCTCCCGTATTGATGATGAACCACAGGAGTGTAAGGAGGAAGCCAGGAGACCAGTTAGATTGCACAGCCTTCCAGATAGGAGTTTGTAGGGGCTGGAGATTTAGCTCAGCGGCACAGCGCCTGCCTGGCAAGTGTGAGGTTATGAGTTCGGTTCCTGGTACTGGGGAAAAAAAAAACCCAAAAACACAGGTAAGAGTTCATGGTGGCTTAGACCTTGGGGATGGAGGGGGGATTGTGAAGGGATCAGAATCTTAGAATCTGGCTGTTTTGAAGGTGGAGCTAGAAGAATTGGCTGAGTGATGTAGCTTGTCAGGTGTGTTTTATAAGGTGAGAAACTGGGAGCAGCAGGTTTAGAAGAAAGGGAAAAGTAGTGGACATGAGGAGAGTGTGATGAGGCGTCCAAGTGGGGATGCTGAAAGAACAGTTACGTATGTGTGTCGAGTTTGGAGAAGGGCTTCGGCGTGGAGATCGAGCAGTTCCTCGTCTCTGTCTCTGTCTGTCTCTCCCCCGTCTTTCTTCCCTCTCCCCCACTCTGTCTTCTCCCCACACATCCCTCTCTCCTTCTAGAGAGAATCATCAGTGTGTAGATGGTGTTTAAAGCCACAAAATGGAGCAGATCCTGAAAGGAGTGGATATAGATGGAGGAAGCAATTCCAAGGTCCAAGCCCTGAAGCACCTAATTAGTATTATAGGCCAGGAGGATGAAGGTATGAGAAGGCAGGAAAGTGAGGAAAGTGTGGTTCCTGGAAACCAGCATAAGAAAGTGTTTCTGGAAGGAGAAATGGGCTAATCTCCCACTGCTAGATCAGGACAGTAGGGACAGAGTTGACCTTGCACGTAGGCTTCAGTGTGAAAGTCGTTGGTGAGAAAGCAGCTGTGGGAGAGTAGCCATGTGGAGAGACAGTGGAAAGACCAGTGGCAGGTGGACGTACAGCTCTACTGAGCACCTGTCTTTGGGAAGAAGGCAAGAGAAAGAGTGCTAGCTGCAGGGTGGCGTAGTGTCAGTGAGAACTTCTGTATATTTTTTTTCCCTCTGGTACCAGGAACCGAACTCACGACCTTGCACTTGCTGGCAGGTGCTGTGATGCTGAGCTAAATCCCCAGCCCCACTTTTATATATCTTTAAGAAGGGTTTGTATGTGGCTGAGGATGTTCCAGTAAAGATGAGAAGAGTGAGGATTCGAGAAAGAGGGATTGCTGAGGAAAGAAGGGATGGGACCAAGTGTCCCCATGGAGAGGTTGGACTCCGTGATTACCTGGAGGACATGATGCTGGAAGGTGACTGGTGACTGCGTCGAATTTGTCAGTGAAGCAGGAAGCATGCTCATCCCCTGAGAGTGACGCAGGCGTCAGTAGGAGGGTGGATCAGAGGACTGCAGAGTGACTGCTGGCACGTTATCCGCCTCTGAGCTAGAGGATGATTTGGAGTTAGAGGAGCTGGGGTGCTCATTTGTTTCTCCAGCTCTTTTCCGCTGTGCTGCTAGAGTTGAATTTAACCAGGTTTGCACTTTGACAAATGGTTACAACAAAGTGAGAGAAGACCAGATGTCGTAAGGACGTCCAAAATTGACCTTAGAATTTGAGCTTGCAAGGAGGGAAGGCAGGCCATCCCCTTCCTTGGGTGAGGACAATAAAGGGACCATAGTGAGGGACAGTAAAAGGACCATAGCATTGATTGGTTTTGGTGTCTTCTTGGAGTTGAGGAGTACTTGAGCTGGTGAGCTGGGAAGACAGGGCAGTACTTGACATTGGAAACTTGACATTGAAATGGCAGAGGAATAAGGGCAGGGAAGGGTGTGCTTTAAAGTATGATGAAGGTTAGCAGAGGGAGAAGGGGTCACAGAACCAAGAGGACAGTTGTCTTAGTTACTTTCTCATCGCCGAGACACAGTACCCAACACAAATGAAAGGAGGAAAGGTTTATTTTAACTCAGTTTTTAGGGGTTTCAGTCCATAGTCAGCTGGCTCTAAGGCAGGGCAGCCCGGCAGAGGAGAAACAGCACCTGGCATAGCAAGCAGGAAGCAGAGCGATAAGAAGGGAGGGAGATAGACATAGACCCTTGAAGGCCGTGCCCTCAGTGGCCCACTTCCCGTGACCAGGCTTCACTTGCCAACGTTAGATTTAGCTGTAAGGAGGTTGAGGGTGGAGGATGGCTTCTGGTGCTGATGACACATGAGTTCCAAAGGGCACAGGAAAGGGGGTCAGGGTCGGGAGGGGTGGAGATGGTGTCCAGAAGGCAGGTGTGTACCCACGTTGGGGTTGAGTAGGAAAGGAAGGAAGCCCCAGAAACTGGACTCTGTGATGATGGTGAAGAGAAATGAGGCCCAGGGGATTAGTCCTGGTGGTCTCCAGGCAGCCAAGGCCGCAGAGCTCTTGCAGGAGCCCACAGTGACTCCCCCAGAATGTGAAGGGATTTGATAGAATTTTTCTACCATTTGCTAAAAGCTAGTGATGTGATGTGTAAGAACAGCTGTCATTTAGTAAACACCTGCTTCTGTCTTTTAGCCTTCTAAGTGCTTTGCACATGTTTCTGGATTTAATCCAACAGTCCTTCATGGCATTGCTAAACCCATTTTACAGATAGTTATTCAAGCTAAGGTAAGCTAGGCAACTTGCCAAGGTCTTATATCAAAATGGAGCTGGCCTTGTAACCAGGCCTGACACTACGTTTATCAAGTATTTGATTTACTCCCTTCCACAGAACTATTCCACGGAGAATTCTAAGCCCACATTGAATAATTCAAGAAAAATTACCAGAAAACATTTTCCTATATAAATTACATGCTTTTTATGTTTTAATTGAATGTATAAAAGTAGAACAGTGGGGGGTTATGTGTTATAAGGAGGATTTTGTTCCCTCGAGAGATAATAATATTTTAAAACCTTTAACAAAACATAGTTTTACTAAATTCATAACCAAAGATAATTTAAACTATTAGAACTTTCCTAAGAAAACATATTACAGGGAGAGGCAATAGGATATCATGACTAAGAGCATTTTCTCGAGCTCAGCTTGCTTTGGCTAAGTCCTGGCTCTGCCGTTTTTTGGTTGTTTGACTTTGTCCTTCCTAGTCTGTCAGTAATGGATGAATATCTTCCCTCATAAGGTTTTTGGGAGAATTACATGAGACTTGACATATTTAAGTACATAGAACATAGGCACTAAGTAAACGTTAACTATTATTAATCCTTTCATCCTTGGTCTTTGTAATTGAACACCGTGGTGACTCCCCTAAACCCACTGGGCCTTGAATCGAGGGTAAGATTTGCCCTTTTGCTGTAACTCATTCGTATTCCCCCCGCCAGTTTGTTTTAAGGTTGGTGACGGTGCCACTGATTCCATAGTGTGTGTACTTTTGCTTTTCCAATTTCTGTTTTTAAAATACGAAGCTCTAAGCTGTGTTTGAAAACACAAGTCTTACTGTATTGCCAGGTAGCAGTGTGGCGAAATTAAACCATTGGCTGGCAGATGGCAGCAGTGGACCACACTTAAACTTGTTCCTGCTAATGACAGCGGGTAGTTTAAGGATGTTTATGATGTACAAAAGATACACAACTTTTTAACACCTGTAGTAAAGTTTCAGTTTATTAAAACTTTTATAGAAATCAATTGTCTACGTATAGCCTTTTGAAAACTAGGCAATAGATTTTTTTAAATGTGTCGCTTTATAAATCAAAATAATGTACTATTGTAGTATATTGTGAACATCATTGCTTTTACATACATGAAACGGGCCCTAGATTTAATTGGAGGAATCTTCAGTTTTAAAGAATTAGCAATTTTTATTTCACTTACATTATTAAATAAAGTCTTGAAAATGAAGGGTCTTTCTACTTGACTAAAGGATCGGGTGTACTGTGATTGCAGACAGCCATGTGCGACTCTTACATCACCCCATTCTGCCTGATTTACTGCTGAATCTCCATCAGGTGGCATTTCAGGAGGCCCTCCATTCTGTTGAATAGTTAGACATTGCTTATTGCTAGAAAGACATCAACTTTAGAGTTCTGAAATGTAACCCTGGGATATTACTATGGAGAAACAGATGTGACATTTTGTTCTACGTGTGGGTTTCTTTTTTTCTTTCTCTTTTTCTTCCAGGTCTCATTTTTGTATAAAAGGTGAGTGGATTGACAATATCGAAAGGAACAACTTAGAAAATGAAAATTTGGAGACAAGTATTTAGAGAAACTAAGGTTGAAATTTAAATGTTTGAGCTATGAAAAGTTTTTAAATGTTTATGGCCAATATTAATGTACTTACATAATACTCTGTGTTATCTTTGTGAAGGACCTGGATATTTTTCTTAAAGTACCTTTCACTTTCTTTTTATACAGTTTACATTTAATGAGGAAAAAACCTGTAACCTTGTTTGTACAAAGACATACAATACAGAGAAAGCTGAAGACAAACAGAAGTTAGATTTCTTGAAAAAAAGCATGTTACTGAATTATCAACATCACTGGTAAGACATGCAGATTTTGGATTTGGGGCTTTTTCCTTTCCAGAATAAAACATCTGTTTCAGCCAGCCATGGTGGCACATGTTTGTAATCTGGGCTCTGGGGAGGCTGAGGCAGGAGGATTGCTGTGAGTTCAAGGCCAACCTGGGCTACATAGTGAGTTCAAGGCCAGCCTGAACTGCCTAGTGAGACCCTGTCTCAAAAAGACCAAAAAGAAAAAAAAAAATTTAAAACAAAAAACCAAAAATAACACATTTATCAAACTAAAAAAAAATACCCTTTAACTATAATTCTTCCCTTCAATCCCCTAATCCTAAACAACTACTAATCTATTTTCTGTCTCTATCAATTTACTTTTCTGAATATTTCATACAAATGGGATCATATGTTGTTTTTTATGACTGCCTCCCCTCCCTTAGTATACTGTTTTTATTTGGGTTTTTTTGTCAAAAGTCAAAAGCAAAAACATCTGTTTCAATGAGTATTTAAATTACTTACTTGGTGGACTGTGTAAAATTTTTTTTTTTTTTTTTGGTTTTTCTCCGGTATCAGGAACCAAACTCACGACCTTGTGCTTGCCAGGCAGGCGCTTTTTGCCGCTGAGCTAAATCCCCAGCCCTGTGTAAAATATAGCAAACTAATTCCTTAATAATAGTAGTATAAAGTAGTAGCTTTTACTTTTCAGAGCATCATTAACATCATTTTTTTTCATAGTAACCATTTTAATTACAGGTGTTAACATATATATTAGCAACATAAAATTCACCTGTTATAAAATGTGTTTCAAGGGGGCTGGGGATTTAGCTCAGCGGCACAGCGCCTGCCTGGCAAGTGCAAGGTCGTGAGTTCAATTCCCGGTACCGGAAAAAAAACAAAAAAAATAAAAAAATTTAAAAAAATAAAATGTGTTTCAAAAATTTAAGAAATATCTGGTACTTCTTTAGTGCATGGACCTAGTACATAGGGTACTTTTAAAGATCAGAGCAAAAGAAAATTTAACTTTTGTTTTATGTTTTATAAATAGCATCTACTTCAAATCAAAATAAAACACATTATTTTGTTTAATATTTCCTACCTTCCCCCTCCCCTACAGTACTGGGGGTTGAGCTCAGGGCCTCGCATATGCTAGCCAGGTACTACCATATGCTAGCCAGGTACTACCATATGCTAGCTGTACTACCAAACTATATCCTCAGCCCAACCATCCCTTATTTTGTAACAATCACATATAACATTAACAAGTTCCTTCCCAACTTGTTTGAAATCAAAAAGCCCTTAAAGCTATCCTAATTTTATTTTCAAAGTTGTGTATACCTGTTACTCAATATTCAAATGTAGAATATTATGAAAGACTCTCAAAATCCACCCTTTCAAGAATGACCATTATGATTCTTCCAGATACTTTTGCTTGCAAGTGTTTGTATTCTGTAGATTCATGGTTTGTGTATGTTTTGCCTGTTTGGGAAGGATAAGGTGCTGGAGGTGATGCCAGGGAGGATTATCTTTTGTCCGGCCCTTGAAACCTGTTTGCCCAGCCCCAGAGAGTATAGGAGCTGTAGACCTCAGTTCAGATCTCACTGTCCTGAAGCCCAGAGACAGTGATTGGAGCTTCTCGTTCCCTTTTGCCTGATCAGCTGCTCTCCCTGTTCCCAGCCATACATGTGGAGCAAAGTGGTCCTGGGACTGGCAGCAGGGCTATGTGATTAGGTAGGGCCTTTCCAGTCAGCACACTTGGGCTATATACACTTGAGCTTCATAGAGATGTGCCCCTTAGACAGGTAGGAGGAGGAGGAAAGGACGCTGTCAGAAACCTGCCTGTTACCGTGTCAGTTGCTTTTCATCTGAGCCCTGGTGCAAATGAACTTGAATGGCCCCTTCATCTCTTCCTGTGTTTGGTTTCTGGTCTAGCAAAAGCTTTTTTCACAAGCTTCAGTGAGAATCAACCAAATTGCTAGATCAGTATAACTTGAGATACAGGTACTTACAGTATAAGTAACTGGAGCTTCCCTTAGTATTTTTCTTTTCCTTCATATTTTTCTTTATGCCCTTGAAAATATTATTTAAGGCTCAAGTCTTACATTGACTTCTCATGTTAGCCCCTGGCACCTCCGTTTACTCTGATAGCAGCCAATTATTGCCTGAGTGAAAAGGATGACTCCTCAGGTCTGTGGGTGGTTTTTGATTTCCTCCCTTCTGTGCCAAGGATGCTGTTCAAGGTCTTGCTCCTAAGGATAATAGAAGCAGCTCTTCCTTAGGAGCCTCTGTCTTAGTTACATTTTGTTTTCTGAGACAAAATACCCCAAAGTTAAAGGAGGCAAAGTTTATTTAGCTCACAGTATGTAGAGTTTCCGTTCAGTTGGCTGGCTCCAAGGCTGGGTGGCATGGCAGAGGGCTGTTGTAGAGGAGAAACAGTTCATGGCAGGCTGAAGGCAGCAAAGCAGTGAATTAGCAAAGAAGCAGCAGCAGCCCTCCCTCTATCCCTTATTCTCTCCAGGGTAGCCCTCATACCCAAGGTCGGATACCCGCATTCCCAGCATCACACACCCTAGACCCAGCCCCTCTCAAAAGCCACACCTATGACCTCACGAAGCTTTGGGGAGACATCTAGACACAAGCCATAACAACCTCCACACAGGAAAATACTTTAGAAATCTTTTTAACAAATTCATGATGCAGTTAACCTACATCCTGTTTTGATGCTAAAATACTTAAAAAAAATAATAATAATTTCAGATAGTTTGCAAAGTTAGAAAGCATTCAGTAGTAAAATTTACAAAGTATATTAGTTGTAAATTTAAAGTATTCTGCTTAAAAAACTGGAAAAGTACTAGTAAGTAGTGATTTTTTGCAATTGAATTAGAAAAATGTATGATTTCAAATCTGAATCATTAAGAAAAATATAAGCCATATCAAAAATACACAGTAGTTCTAGACAAGGGCTTTAGTTTTTTTTATTGGTACATTTTAGGTATACATAATGATCACATTCATCATAGGGAATTTGTACCTGAACATGAAATACCTTGATTCTTCTTTTTTTTCCCATTCCCTTCCCGTTTGGTTCTTGAATTAGCTCAGTACACATTTGGGAAATGTTGATTCACATTGATGAACTTAGATGTCAGAGTTGATGGCAAAGCTGGACATGGTTGTGCGTGCCTATAATCCCAGTGCTCTGGGAGGCTGAGGCAGGGGGATTGCAAATTGGAGGCCAAACTAGATAGCTTAGCAAGACCTTGTCTTGAAATTTTTAAAAAGCGTTGGGAATATAACTCAGTGGAGAGGCTCTGGGTTCAGTCTCTATACCACAAAATAAAAAAAGGTGGGGGGATTAAGGGTACAATTCCAGAAATATACTGCTTCTGTTATAAAGTTTTATTGTGAATGTAGCACATTTTATTTTATCCTTTGCACTAAAGGGAGAGCTTTAGGGAGAGCATAACCATTTTCTAAATTACAAAGTACATTAGTAATGGCCTGTGGAGGACCGTAAGCAATTTAGAAAATATTAAGTAATAAGTAAGAGTCTTCTGCCACTCCCAGCTTTTAAAATCCTATTCCCCGCCCTCAAAGTAGGACTATTATTTCTTACTAGTTTCTAGATTTTCTGTGCATACACAGGTAGGTGTGTCTTTCCTAAATAACATGGCTGAAATACTATACACATTCTGCTGTTTGCTTGTTCCATTTAAGAAAATATTACACACATTTTCTCAGATCAGTTCCCTCTGTAGGTCTGTTTTTACCTCATTCTTTTTCATCGTTGTGACATTTCATTGCATGAATGAACTAGTTTTTCCTCCATAACACTCTAATGATGTGTGAATTCATTATTTTTGTTAGAGAGAAGAATTAATAATAATTTTCTTAATTAAATTCATGAATATTTTTCTTTCTTATTTGGGATATTAGAACATGATTTGAGGATCTTTTGAACTTACTCTGTCAACAGGCTAAACTATTTTGTAGTGTTGCAAGCTGACTAGTGTTTTGATACTAACACGAGCAACTTGAATTCCTTGCCTTTGCCCTCCAGTGTGCGTGCATGCGTGCTTGCGTGCGTGTGTTACTAGAGATTGACCCAGGGCCTTGCGCATACTAGGCAGGTGCCTTAGTGCTAAGCTATACTTCTGATCCTTTATGCATTTTAAAAATAAGAGTATAATTACTCAACTAATTATCAGAGTACATAAAATATTTTTAATCTCATAAGACCCCTGGACTATAGCTTATTGGCCAGAAAGGGGTCTTGAAGATACTTTAGTGTATTCCATCCCAGATTCCCAGCAAATTAGCAAAGAGGACTGATGTTATTTTTAAAAATTCAAAATTCTGCTGGGTAGTATATATTTTTACTCATGTTAAAACCAAATAGGATGATTTAAGTGCCCAGTTTCTTTGTTTTTGGCTAGGACTTTGGTTATTCCCTTCTGAAACTTCTGTAATTTGTTGGGAAAATGTAGTTACTAATAAATGAAGCTTGATTGGTAGCGGTGTTCAGAGTCTATGGAGGGTAGAGAGAAATTCTAGGAAGCAGACCTTCAGGACAAAAAGTTGGGGCCGTTCAGCCTTTATTCTTTTGAGTCTTCTTATTTTCACTGTCAGATTGGAAATAGGATTTAAATTTTTTTGATGTTAGAAATCCAAATAAATACTGCTTCCTAATTTAGGAGGGCAGTAATTAAAAGTGATAGTCTTTAATTTTTCTTTTATTTTAAAGGATTTGTTTTTTTTTACTGCATCCTGCTACCAGACCCAGGCTATTATATCAAGGCACTGTATAAGTAATTGATAAATTTGTTTGCTTTTAAAAAACCCAGAGTACTCCTGAATTCCTTGTTTGGTAACTAGTATTATAATTTTTATGTAATCTCTTTCTCTAGTATGATAGCATAAAGATATTGTATATGGTTTATATGTACTCATTGGTTGAACTGTATTCGCTAAAAAAATTAAAGCAATTAACTGATTCTTTAGGCTTCTGGAAAATCTGAATTATTTATTTTATATAGCATTGTTTTATGCTTCTAATAGTTTATAATCTTTTCATTGGAACTAGTAAGTAGCCTGCTGGCTATCATAATGAGCAACTTAATAAATAGTATAGGTGATTCTAAAATTGAGGGCTTTGGGTATTATTAAATAGCATTTAAATGTGACAAGACATGTTTTATTAGGTCATTAATGTACACCTCAGGTGAATATAAGATCCTAATTTTACTTCCTAAGGCATACATTAATTAACAAATAAAACATGCCCTGGAGTGTCGTCTTACAATTGTGATATAGCTAGTATATTTTGACTAATTTTTTTTATTTTTATCCCACAGTGTGTTCTGAACATAAGGAACTACATCCTTAGACTTTAATGTAGCTGTGCAGTGCTCCAAAATTTTATTCTTCATTTTTACCTTTTTTTAAAGGCTGTTTTTCACTGTAAAGCATCAAAGAGTTGTTCTCTAGAGTTAAAGGAGTATTTCTTTTAGAAATCATTTACAGTTACAATTTTAAGAGACAATACTGTAAATTTCACTTTTTATCTGGCCCTTTGAGCAGTTTCCCATTTTGCAGTTATATTCTGCTTCATTGTTGTTGAATTACTTTAGTAATAGAGTTGCTTCTGTACTATTCAGTAAACTGTTCCCAAAGAATTACATTTTATTCCATTGCACCTATTTAGAACTTTGAGTATTCTTCTCAAGGTAAATTATACTTAGTTGTCTAGATTATACCATTAAATTAGCAATTGCAACAAGTTAATTTATAAAACTCCCCTTTCCTGCAAACATTTATACTTTGAAAGAAGCTGTAAAAATTTTTTTCCTCACTGTGTTCTATCAAATGTTGGCATAATATCAAGTACTTACATCCATCAAAATTCCTTGTGGTTTTTGGAATCCTAGAGCATTCAACCTTTTACATTTTATACAGTATGGACACTGATTTTGGCAGTAGTTTTAGTCATGCTTGGTGGTTCTCTTCTAACTTGACTCTTATTTCTGTGCCTAGGATTGTGGATAATATGCCTGTCACGTGGTGTTACGAGGTTGAAGATAGTCAGAGGTTCTGCAATCCTGGATTTCCTATTGGCTGTTACATTACAGATAAAGGCCGTGCAAAAGATGCCTGTGTTATTAATGTAAGCTTTTGATAAACTCTATGGTGCTGTTAAAGTACGGCTTTCTGTAGAGAATTCATCTTTTACCATGTCAAAAATTGTTACATTCACGGAATGAGTATAGTTCAGATGTTCTGGAGTACAGTTACTTAGCTCTTAAATTGATGCCAGATTAATAATGTATAAATTTAACAGTAGGGGTTAAAACAATTCAAATTCTGTTCAACATTAGATACCTCATGTATGCCCAGTGCTGTGCTAAGGGCTAGGACTTTCTTCTATGACATCATTCTTTTATAAATAAAATACATTAATAGAATAGAGACATTAATATATACAGCAGGTAATATTATTAGGGATATATGTTAAAATAACTTGTGTTTGGCCAGGGATATAGCTCAGTGCTACAGAACCTGCCTGGCAAGCACAAGGTCCTGAGTTCCATTCCCAGGACCAAAAAAAGGAAAAAAAACCTTATGTTTCTCCAAGGTAACCTAATTTACTCTCTTGATGGATATGATCTGATAGAAGTTAGCGTGAAGGTGATCATGAAACTGGTTATACTGGTTAATGCATTTTTGAGAGCTGACCAAGACACTTGAATGACTCAGATTATTGGTTTAATCCAAAATTACAAATTTAAAAAGGAAAAGTGTTTATGCGTAAACTTTGAAATGCTTACAGTATTTTTAAGATTTATTTTGTTTATTTTATGTGAAAAGCTAGAAAGTGTTGTAGATGTTTATTAAATTTTGTGTAAAAATTAAGACTGTAAAAAACATACCTTATACCTTCCCCAAATTAATTTTTGGCTTATAAGGAATTTAAACTCAAAATTTAAAACATTTTCCTGGGAATGGATTAGAATTCTATCCAAGCTTAAATTTTCCTACTTGTAACCAATTTTATTTTTTTATTTTTACTCTCTTGTAGCCAGTTTTCTATCTTTAACTTTAAGCTCTGTTCCACAGTCAGAATTCCACGAGAGAGACACATTTTACATCTTCAACCATGTTGACATCAAAATATACTATCATGTTGTTGAGACGGGATCCATGGGAGCAAGATTAGTGGCTGCTAAACTTGAACCAAAAAGGTAACTATACAGATGAACAGTAAAGCCGAACGTGGTGGCACACGCCTGTAATCCTAGCACTGGGGAGGCTGAGGCAGGAGGATTGTTGTGAGTTCGAGACCAGCCTGGGTCAGCCTGAACTGCATAGCAAGACACTGTCTCAAAAAAGACCAAAAAAAGATAAACAGTAAATAAATGAGTGAAGTACTGCGTAGATCCAAAAGCATATTTTGTCTCAGTTGCTTTTTTCCCTGAGCAGTACTCTGGCATTTCAGTATTGATGGTGACTAAAACTCCCTTTACCATGTGACTTGTTACTGAGTGTTGGTTTGGTCAGACCAACCATAGTTATATCCCTGTCACAGCAGGTGGTCAGGCCAAGGTGCCTTTCTGGTTTTTCATTCAGGAAGTTTTGAGTGTTTCATTTTGTCAGTGTGGGCTAGAGAACATGAGAGCTGGCACAGTGTTTCCCTTCCCAGTAGAAAAGTAGTACTTCTCCCATGTCATGTGACCTTCCTGTGGTCAGAGGCCCCTGGAGCTGTGTGGCACTGTTTTTGAGGCTTCCATGCTGTGTTAGCGTTAGATGCCAGTGTGTGAAGAGCTTTGGAAAGAGCATCTTGTCAGTCGGTTCAAGCTGTTGGCATGAAAGTACGTTACGTTGATGGTATTCTATTCTGCCATGGCTTTTCCTGCCACTGAATTAGCCATTTCCTCACATCACTAATGGTAAAGAAACACTCTCCATAATAAGGTGGCAGTTCATTTAAACTATCTGTATGTTTTTTTCTTTTTAAAGATCATTTAGCTGGGCACCCTAGCACATGCCTGTAGTTCTAGTACTCAGGAGGCTGAGGTAGGCGGATCTTTTGAGCCCTAGGGTTCAAGATCAGCCTTGACAATACAGTGAGATCCTGTCTTAGAAAAAATTAATGGTGTTCTAAGCATAGAGTTTTTGAAAGTTTGTTTACAATTTTGAGTAATGATGTTGTACACTTACAACTAAGCCTATTATTTTTATGAAGTAAATATTTGCTGTTTTAAATGTGATATGTATAATTTTGTTTTTCACTACCAGCAGCATTGTGAAATATGTACAGAATTTCTAACACGTATTTTACCCATTTTGTAAATCACTTTATCAGCATTTTGCCAAAATGTTTCTTCCTGCAGCTTCAAACATACCCATATAGATAAACCAGACTGCTCTGGACCTCCCATGGATATAAATAACAAGGCCTCTGGGGAGATCAAAATTGCCTATACTTATTCTGTTAGTTTCGAGGTGAGTTTGTTTCTATCTTTAATATAATTTAGAAGTTGATTTTAAATTTGTACTACTTAAACTAATTAAAAATACTAATGATTAAGCTTGTCAATTGGATAAGCACTTAATGAGCTGATTTTTAGAATGGTTTCTCAGTGCACTAAGCAACATAATCACTTTTAAAACTAAGTTTTGGTGTAAATGAAACAATAGAGGAAATTGGAGAATTGAGCCCGATTTGTATTATCTTAGGAGATATATAGAAAACAAAGAGTAGAAAACAGGCATAGAAATAGGCATGGTATGAAAATGTTGAAGGCATGTACCAAAAGCATTTGGGGAAATAATGCCATTCTCAGAATCAGGATTTGAGTATGAACATAAATGGAGCGTTTCTGGGTGGCAGAGTTTCATAGGCAATTAACCACAGTAGTGTTTTTATTAGTGGAGAAGTCCCTTAGGAGGAAAGTAAAAGTTTGTTGTGAAAAACTGAGGCAGGATTCTACCTCTGTCCTTTTTTCCTGGTACTGGAGATTGAACCCAAGGCCTTGCATGAGGTGTATCCCCAGGCCTATTTTTTATTTTGAGACAGGGTATTGCTAAGTCATTAAATTGCCCAGCGGGGCTCAGATTTGGCAGTCCTCCTGCTTCAGCCTCCCATAGTACTGAGATTAGAGGCATGTTCACCACACCTGGGTTCCATCTCTATTTTTAAAAAACTATTGTGACTCTCTAATATATTTGTGACATTTAATATCCTTACATAGTTTTTTCTCATATCGTTTTTAATTTTGGAAGCCCAGCAGAGTAGAACCACATATATTTCTAGGCATTAAGAGCCCACTGTGAGATTTGAGGATGCTCAGTGTACCTGAGTTGTGCTTTTGTGGTGTAGTTAGCTGTCCTATAGGAACAGATTAATGAGTAAGTTATTCTACTCAACTATTTTCTGAACAAATTAAATATGGCACTAAATTTTGACATCAAAAATAAATATTTACTGGCTGTAGTTTTAAACAAGATTTTGAAGAGTCCAAGTATGTAGATAATTGTTAGAAACATCCCCACTCATGGATTTATTTGTTTGTTTTGTTTATGTTCAACCTCATCCTGATTTCTACTACACCCGAGCAATCTGAAACTCCCTGGATCTCATGACTAACCTAAGCCCTGACCATTGGAAAGTGCAGGTGCTAATGCAGCGAAAGGATAGCTGTCAAAGGCGACCTGAGGTTCTTAATGTTCAAGGAGTTTTTCTTTCCCCCTCCAGGAAGACAAAAATATCAGATGGGCATCTAGATGGGACTATATTCTGGAATCTATGCCTCACACCCACATTCAGTGGTTCAGGTAAGAGTACACAGTGAGCCTGCTTTGCCTACCTGCTTATTCTGCCTTGTTTGTGTGAACATCTCAGCCACTCTCTCACCCTGCAATGTGTATTCAGGGGTCTGGGCCTGGGTTCACATCTTGGCTTTAAGTCATGAGTTTTTTGTCAAGGCAGGCCACATAGTCCTCAGTTTGTTTATCTGGAAGAGCCGAGCTCATTGGATTGTTCTGAGGATTAAGGAAAATGTGAGATAGTATCTGAGGACATGACTGCCATATACAAGTGCTCAGTAAATAGAAGGTGCTGCTGCTGTTACACTATTGCTATTCTCTCCAAAGCATGACTCAGAACTCTTATCTAGAAACTTGTTCATCCTGCCATTGCTCACCTTTTTTCTGCTTTGCTAACTAATCTTTTTGAAACTCACTAATCTACTGAGCAAACTTTTTCTTCTATATATTTCTGGAGGACCCAGGCCAATCCATTGTTGAGTCCTGTGTGCTGCAGTGGTTTAGACTGACTAGCTATTTAATAATGTTGACCAAAAAATTCCATGTCTAAACACAAGGGCTGGAGGGGTAGCTCGGTGGTAGAGTGCTTGCTTAGCAGGCAGTGAGACCTGAGTTGATCCCCAGCACTGCCGTAGATCAGTGAGTCATCTAAAATCTCAGAACCAGAGCCTGTATTATGATAAGTATGAAAGCTATGTATCTACTAAAGAGAAATGTGGAAGAACACAACTGACTGAATTTGTTGGCTTTTATGTAGTTTTAATTTTGATGAATGCTGTTTTAATGTTACATAGTGAACAGACTTTTTTTTTTTAAACTTTAAACTGTCTTGTACATTAAGCTACAAATGAACCATGGTGTGCTTATTTTTACAGCATAATGAATTCCCTTGTCATTGTTCTCTTCTTATCTGGAATGGTGGCTATGATTATGTTACGGACACTGCATAAAGATATTGCCAGATATAATCAGATGGATTCTACAGTGAGTGGGGACATTTTATCTCATTTTTAGGCTGCCGAAGAGTCTTTATTGCTGCTTCAGAAAAAAATTGAAAGAGGGGCTGGGGATTTAGCTCAGTGGCACAGCACCTGCCTGGCAAGTGCAACATCGTGAGTTCGATTCCCGGTACCGGAAAAAAAAAAAAAAAAAAATTGAAAGAGTAGCTCTAGAATCTACTTTAAAAACAGTGTTCTCAAAAATTATCTTGAGTTTACATTTTCAAGTAAGAAAGTGATATAGCTATACATGGAGTTTGTGAAATGTTAGAGTTGGACAGATGAACTCCCAAGAAAATTTTACTTGTATATGCATTGAATTTTTTAAAATGAATTATAACTAAATTTTTGTCATCTCAAATTTTTGAAATATTTTAAATTAAAAATAATTTTAATGTCCCAAGCTCATTCTCAAACATTTTAAGTTGCATCATGTAATATATTTTAAGCACTATCACAGTTAATTTCTAAATAAAGAAATCCTGAAGCCATTAAGAAATCAGTCAACAGTGCTTGCTTCTGCAGCACATATACTAAATCAGTCAACAACCCAATAAGAATTGTCAGTGCATGAAAAGAAAGTCCATTTTTTAAAAAAGCAATACTTCCTAAATATATGAAAGAATATGAAATATATGAAAGACATCATTCATAATAAGAAAGGCACTGGGTGTGGTGGTGCATGCCTGTAATCCCAGCACTCAGGAGGCTGAGGGAAGAGGATTTTTGCAAGTTCGTGACCAGTGAGCTCAAGGCCAGCCTGAAACTGCATAGCAAGACCCTGTCTCAAAAAGACCAAAAAAAAAAAAAAACCATAAAAAACAAGGCAAAAAAGTACAATGCAATTCTACAATTGTTTGTTCAGTAGTGTCCAGTATTGCCTCACGCTGGGAGAAATTAAAATGTTTGATGTGATCCTGTGTTGGGGGATTGCAGACAAGAATACTTTGCTATGTAGTGTGTGAGAATATGAAGTTTTACAGTTGCAGTAGCAATTTGGCAACATGGGTCCTAATTTATACTATAACTAGCTTGACGCAACAGTTTTATTTTTTAAAATTAATGTGCAAAGGATTTTATTATTTTTATTTTCAAACAATAGGGGCTGGGGATTTAGCTCAGCGGCACAGCGCCTGCCTGGCAAGGGCAAGGTCGTGAGTTCGATTCCTGGTACCGGAAAAAAACCAAAAACAAAAACAAAAAAAACAATATTCTATAGTTGGTAAACAGCAGATTATAAACAACTCAAATACTTAGTAGCAGGGACTGATTTTATAAATAATGATATCCATATTACAGTATACCATATAATCATTAAAAAGAATAGGACAACTCTGTATACACAGAGTGGAAAGGATGGTCAGGTTGTTACTAGGCTCACAGGACTGGGTGGCATATGCCTGTAATCCCTGCTGCTTGGAGGATCACAAGTTCAAGACCAGCCTGGAAAACTTAGTGAGACTTTTTCTTTAAAAAATTTTAGGAATGGCTAAGGAAGTCAGGCATGAAGGTGCACATCTATAATCTCAGCACTTGGGAGGCTGAGCTAGGAGGATCATTGCAAGTTTGAGGACAGCCTGGACTACATAGTGAGACCTTGTCTAAAAAAAAAAAAAGCCAAGGAAAAACCACGTGTATAATCCCAGCCTGTCATTCCAGCCTTTGGGAGGCAGAGATTGAAAGATTCCCTTGAGTTTCAGGCCAGCCTGGGCTATGCAGTGAATATATGGGTAGCCTAGACTACACAGGTAGAATAGCAAGAACTTACCTTGAAAAAAAAAAAAAAAAAAAAAAAGCTAAGGGATGTATCTGAGTGGTAGAACAGTTTACGCGGCATGTACATCGTAGTTAGCTTTCTGTTGCTGCGCGCAACACCCAACACCCACAGTAAAGGAGGAGAGGTTTAATCTGACTCACTTTTGAGGGGGATTCAAAATAGATATTAACATTTATAAGCTTAGAATTTTTTCCTGTCACAGCATATTCAACAGTGAACTCACTTCTCTAGTTGTCATGGTGATGTCATATAACATATTGAATGGATTTCATTCCCTTTTTAGGAGGATGCCCAAGAAGAATTTGGCTGGAAACTAGTTCATGGTGACATATTCCGTCCCCCAAGAAAAGGGATGCTTCTGTCAGTCTTCCTAGGATCCGGGACACAGATTTTAATTATGACTTTTGTGACCTTGTGTAAGTGTCAGGTGAAAATTAAAGAGTAAAAAATACTTTTTGCAAATAAGTATTTAAAAACCAAGTTTGTTAATTGAAATAACTAGGCTAGATTGTTTCTAACTCCCTGCACCTCCGGAAAGACCTAGCCTTTGTCCTGGTGACACTGGGTGGGTCCTTAGAGACCATCTGGAGAGGGTGATGCGGGTTTAGTCTAGTGAGGGGGGGACTGGATCTGGAATCTGGGGCATGTTTGGGGTCGGCAAGGGAGGAGAGAAGCAAAAGTGGGCAGGGCAGGAAGGGTTTTGTAGCTGAGGAGGTTTCATACCTAGGGAGGACTCAGGAAGCCAGATTTCTTTCTTTCACTAGCAGTGTTCAAGAAGTGTTATACACGTACAGACACATGTGCACACATGCTTGCTTGTACCACTGGGACATTTTGAGGGATTTTATTAGGACAGTCTTTTATCTTTTTAAAAATAGACCCTCTTTAGAGGTATTGATCAGCCACTAGGATGGTTCTGAGACTGTGCTCTAGGGATACATTAATCCCAGGTTCTTCTGATTTTTTAAGAAACAAACAAACAAAATTATGAATAGAATTTTCCTCTTTTTCCCTTAGTGACATTTTCCTTTAGTGATAACTAGTATCAATAAGCAGTAACAAATGGTGTTATTGTGAGATCAGAACTGCCTGGCCTTTTAACTTCTTTTTTAATGAAATTTTGTTTTTCTGTTTGAGTGCATATTAAATAGTAATACTATAGTCATTTTCTGTTAATAAAAGAGTTCTAAGTTTTTATAATGAAATTAACCATATAAATGGACCATTTGCAAAAGGACCATTACTTCCAAATGTCTGGCACTGTAGTAAGTTTTGGAGGTACTAATTCAGACCTTCAGGCTCAATTTGAAGTCTAACTAGAATGTAGTGTTCATTTAATCTAACAACCTAAGGAGGCAGAGCTTTGATAGATAGTGCTGGAATTTGAAAGAAGATTAGATTGAAGAGGGTAGTTGAGAGAAGGACTCATAAAAGAGGTTTGGACATGGCCAAAGGATATCACAAAAGTATTGAATGCCAGAGAGCCTAGGTGGACTTAGCCCAGGGTGGACGTTTGAAGATAAAATTCCCCTCTAAAATGTTACCAGAGTCTGTCTTCCCCCACCCAACTGTCTGGCCCTTCTGCTGGAAAGTGACCTTAGGAGGAAGGAAGGTTTCAGAGAGGCTAGGATAGGAAATGATAGGAATCCTTTCCCGTAAGTCCTTAAGTATGAACCTGGTGTTTCAGGACTATTTCTCCAGCCTGGGTTGCAGTAGGGGGTGCATCTCACCTGGAATCCAGACAGATCTTTAAAGCTACCATGGTCTGCCTGCTGGTTGTGACTGTATTGCCAGTCATGTACATACTTGCTCATGTACACACTGGGGAAATAACAGATATTCTCTTGCTGCGGGGATTAGAAGGCTGCTTGAGACTCTTGGCAGTATCCTAGTAGCCTTGCCATTGTGCACATGTCGTAACTTCAAGCCCCCGCTTCAAGTTGGGTATCTGTGTGAGGAGTACATAGGCTTCCTATTCCAGACAGTATGAAGGGCTGTGTAGGCAAGAGCTAGCAAAGCTGACTAATGAGTAAGAGGACAATTTCCCCAAGTGTTGACCAAGTCCTTTGTAATTTCCCTCTTCACTGTGTGATTAGATCTTGTCTCATCTCGTTTTACCTCAGAGGACTTACTATTTTTAAGTGAGATAAAATGGGAGTGCTTTTTATCCACATTAATTTTAAAGGCAGTCATTGGATCTCAACGAACTGAAAGCACTCTCCTTTAGTGTGCCTGGCCAGCCTGCCCAGGCCATAGGACAGATGCGGCTGGGTCCTAGTGAGGGACTGCAGAGTGGACTTCGCCTTACATCAGGCTGTACACTGATGCAGGGTTAAATGTTGCTAAGGTTTGGTATAGCTGAATGCCAAATAGTGTATGTTTTCTTGAAGTTGTATTCATTTTCTTGTTAAGTGAAGGGTTCTATCATTTCACAACCGAGGTAACAAAGTAATAACATTTACACCTTTAATGATTTGTTTTTTAGTTTTTGCCTGCCTGGGGTTTTTGTCCCCTGCCAACCGAGGCGCGCTGATGACATGTGCTGTGGTCCTGTGGGTGCTGCTGGGCACTCCTGCGGGCTACGTTGCCGCCAGATTCTATAAGTGTAAGTAAAAGCTGTTGTGATGGGTGTCGTGTCAGGAATTGGTCTGACTGGTTGGCAGGTGGGAACACTGTGAACAGTAGGTATCGCCGGTATCTGGGATCAGAGAAGCCTGGTTGGTGATGTCTTTTGTTGTATCAGTGAATGATCCTAGGTTTTTGTGTTCAAAGTGCTTAAACAGTATAGATGCTACTTACCCACCACTCCACACTTCCTTTTGTTACAAGCTTTGGTTGAACAGATGGAGCCAATTTAGATGGGCTGTGTTCACGAAAGTGTAGAACGACTGTCAGCTGAAGAAAGTTTGCCACAGATATCGCCGATTTCTTAACTAAACATCCAAGGGTTCTTAATGTATCAGTTTAATTTCTATAAAAGATACGCTATATTTTAAGTGAACTAAGATCTCAGTATTTTAGAGAGCCCTGGAGGAAGTTGCCTTTGTAATTAGTTGCAGTCTTCTGTAGTCATGCTTTCCTGAAGTAAAGTTCAGCCCCCAAAAAGAGTCAGGATGACTGAGATATGTTTACATGGCCTAGAAGCAAGTTGGCAGAGTCAGGATCCCAGGCGGCCCTGGCAGTGATGCTGCAGCTCTCGGTAATTTGGGGTTTGCAGTGTTGCCCTCCTAAGGTCTTCTCAATAGGAGGAAGATTTGAGGTGAAACACGGAAGGGTTACACCGGCTGCCTTTAAGTTGGGTAAGGGAGTCTTGGCCTAACACAGGAGTACAGGTGAGACTTTGCCCAGACCTGTTCTGAGCACCTGAAGTCCTATGTATGTGTCTGTGCATCTTCTGCAAGTTTTGTCAAGTTCTTGTTTTTCTTTTCCTCTTTACTACAGGATGTGGGATTAGACTGGTTATTGCATCTTAACACACGGTATATGGTCAGGCCCCTGCCTGCCGTGCTGGCCTCGTTTTATTCCTCCTCCCCTGTCACGGTCGCAGGCACACTGACTTCCGTAGCCGTAGCTGCGCAGTCCGGGCTGTGCCCCTCATGCTGCTGTCCCATCCCACCCCTCCGCCAGACCCCGCCGCTCACCCTGCCACCCTCAGGTCTCAACCTCATGAAGTAGCTTGCCAGTGAGGCAGAGTTCAGAGAGCTGCTGTCACACAGCCCTGTCAGCAAAGTGCCTTGCTGTATAGAAGCATTTCTAGTGCTTAAAAAATACTTCAATTTTGGAGTTGGATTAAGCCCAGAATTAATAATTTCTTAAATCCCCTTTAGTCACACGGTGAATTCATATCACATATAATAGGGCATGTGTGTGTATGTATGATTTTCTTTGAGGGCAAGTGATACTTAAACTTGCTCATAAATCATGCTAAGACTTTTTTAAAAATTAAAGCTGTTCTCATCTGAGCTGCTTCCATGTCCAAATTTTAAACTGGGAACAGGGTAATACTTTCATATTGGACTATTTCCGTATGTGATTGTTTTAATTGAGGTGGGAACTAGGAGAGCGGCAAAAGAGAATAAAAAGTTGATAAGCAAGGCTGTTTTGTCAGAAGACCATGTCCACCCCTTTTAGTTGCCTGGTGTGACACCCTCATCTCCCCAACCTCACCAGAAACCGTCGTTCTAGGAGACCCTGAAGATGCCAGCCACCTGTGGGAATTTAAACATGTTGAACGGCACACTCAAGGGTTCCTGGCCTCACAGTGGATTCTGACGCTGACCGCAGATACACGAGAATCCCGTGTGCCCTCTCTATACCCAGTCCCATTAATACTGGCTCAGGGTTTATAAGGTTTTTTTGGTTTTTTTTTTTTTTGCTTTGCAGTTAAAAAAAGTCAGAAAAGAACTGGTCTAGATGAGTCCTTTTGCTTGGACTTGTCTTACACCAAGCAGAAACTTGAGAGCAGGCCATCTGCAGAGCAGGCTGTGCTCTGCTGCTCAGCTTCGCACCACTAGATAAGAAAGTTGTAGCATGTGCACCAGGACCGTCTTCTAAGAATGAGTGGCTAGTGGCGCCTGGCAGTTTGGCAGATGCCAGGCTTAGACCACTAAGGAAAAGTATGTTTATGTCACTTCCGCTTTCTTCTACAGCTTTTGGAGGTGAAAAGTGGAAAACAAATGTTCTGTTGACATCATTTCTTTGTCCTGGGTAAGTAAACTTTTCAGTGATTACTTCTTACCATAGTCATGTTTTTGTTCCCAACTTTTGAGTTGCGGATCCTTTAATCCTCTGTCTCTAAATCATGTCTCTAAGAAAACATTTATTTTTTGAAGATGGGTAAAAAACATTTGCCAAGTGACTGCTGCATGCCTTCTCTGGGAAAATCACCTTTGCATATGAGAAATTTTTTTTTTTTTTTTTCTTACAGTTCTCTCTGTTCTGTTTTCTGTGGTAGTCAGTCTGACATGTAAAGCCATGACAATGTAAAGTTGATTTAAGGCTTTTCACCTATCATGGGAATAGATTCCCCTGCAGATGCTTAGGCAAGCATAGGCTTTTGGATTTTTATCAAGAGTATGGCCACTTTTTAGAGTATTCTGTTCAGTGGAGTAGTATGAACTAAACAGTCACACAAATCAGAACAAAATGTTGATTTTCCTAGGACAGTTTCTGATCTCAGGTATCTAATATGCTTCTGCCCTGTAGGACCCATTTGCTCCCCTACTTCCACTTCTCGTGGGCAAGAACTGCAGTAATGATAAAGAACAGTGTATTTACTTTCCCAACACTGGGACAAAATACCCAACATCTGCAAGTTAAAAAGAAGAAAGGTTTATTTTGGATTAGCTCACAGTTTCAGTGAGTGCAGTCTATCGTTAGTTGGCTCCAAGGCAAAAACAGGTGGAAGGGCATGGCAGGGATTTCTGCTTACCTCATGGCAGCCACAGTCTTTCTTGGCAAGAAAACAGAAAAACAGAGACAAGAATACTGTACATCCTCCCATGTCATGCCCCCAGTGACCCACCTTTTCTGACTAGACCCTACCTTCTAATAGCACATTTTACCAGGAACTTACTTTTAGATTTATCCACTGATGAGTGTAACTCCTCCATGATCCTCTCATTTTCCAAAAGCCCCATCTCAGAACATATAAGACTTGAGATCTAAACCCTAACGAATGGTTGAAACCCTTATGTCTCTGATCAGCCTGTCTCTGATTTATACTTTTTATCTCACCCTAAAAGTAGGTAATCACCAGCAAAGTGGTAAAGTCTGTAGAAGAGAGTGTCCAACTGATTGTAAAGGAGTGCTAAGAACCCAAGTATTCCAGGGGCAAATTTCTAGTAAATCACTTTTGTGCCTTCAGTTATTTAAGTTCTCTGAACAGCAAGGCAGGAAACAGAAATAAGAGATAATACAACCTAAAAAGTAGGATCACGTTATTGTTTACGGATGATGTGATGTCTATAAAAAGAATTTGGCAAAATGTCTGGATAATAGGTGGTATCCCAATAACCACTCAAATGGGAGTTGTGTAGAAGATTCTATTCACAGGAGTTTTAGTAACAGAAAACTGAAACTACCTGATACAGCCTCTGCAAATAGGCACCATCCACATAGATTGGCTGTTACTTGATGAAAAGATGAAGCATTATAAAGGTACTTAGAGGTGTTCCCCTGGGCTTCCCAGGTGGAGGGTGAGCACACAGGCCCTGTCTGTGTGGACATACCCAAGGTGCGGCGTCATGAGCAAGAGGATCTGGTGAATTAATGATTCTGGGGCACTCGGTCATGTGAGAGGCTGGGGCTGTAACGCATTGGTACAGCCTGGCATGGGGGAGCCCCTGAGTTGTGTACCTCTCCCCTGAAAATGAAGAAAAATCCCCTTCTTATATTACATACAAAAAAATCAGTTCTGTGTAGATTAAAACCTAAAGGTAACAGGCAGAAGTGTTAAATGAAAATACAGAAAAGTGTCTTTGTGATTCCAGATTAGAGAAGGCTTTCTTCTCTTAAACTAGATAGCGAAGGATAAAAGGGAGGTGGGGAATGGTGTGTTTAAAAGGTGTATAGGAGCCAGGCAAGGTGATACATACCTATAATCCCAGCTCTCTGAGAACCCGAGGCAGGAAGATCACAAGTTCAAGGCCATCCCAGGCAGTTCAGCAACTTAGTGAGACCCTACCTCAAAAATAAAAAATATAAGGCAGGGTATGGTGGTGAACACCTATAATTCCAGCACTTGGGAGGCTGAGGCAGAAGGATTTGCTTCAAGTTTGAGGGCAGCCTGGGCTACAAAGTGGATTCAAGGCCAGCCTGAAATGCATAGCAAGACCTTGTCTCAAAATAAAAATAAAAAATACCAAACCCTGGGTTCAATGTCCAGTAGTGAAGAAAAAAAAAAAAAAGAAAAAAGAAAAAAAAAACAACTGTGTAGGGCTGGGCTGGAAGCTCGGTGTAGATTGTATGCGTAGTATATATGAGACCCTGGGTTTGAGAGTACCAACAATTGCACAAAACAACAAAAAACTGTAGAGTGTGTAGATTATTGTATGATACAGCCATGTTTTTTAAAAAATGTATTGAGAAGAGAAAGCCTACAGAATGAGAAAAAAAAAATTGCAACTGTTCCTCAGAAAACTAGTATCTAGAATATATGAAGAACTCAAAAAAAATCAGACTGTCCCAAATAAAAGACCCAGTCACAAAATGGGCAAGTGAAGTGATTAGACACTTCACAAAAGAAATACAGACGGCCAAATATGTGAAAAAATGCTCAACATCACTGTGCGTTGGAGAGGTGTAAATTTCAACAACACTGAGATTCCTTCTCACCCCAGAAAGATGGCCATCACCAAGAAATCAAATAATAACAAATGCTGGCAAGCTGGCAGGGGAAAAAGAAGCCCTCTGCATTGTTGGAAGGAATGTAAACTAGTACAACCACTGTGGAAATCAGTATGGAGATTCCTCAAAAAACTAAAATTAGACCTTCCATTTGACCCATCTATTCCTTTATGGGTACCTTCTTGAAGGAATTAAAGACATCATATTTTAGTGATACATTCATATTCATATTTATAGCAGCACAATCATACTAGCTAAATCTTGGAAGCAGCCTGTATAACCATCAACAGATGAACGGGTAAAAAAAAATGGTATTTATACACATTGAACTACTACTCTGTCATAAAGAAGGATAAACGAGTCATTTGTAGGAAAATAGATGCACCTTGAGACCATGTTAAGTGAAATAAATCAGACACGCAAGCTTACATATTACATGGTTTCTCTTATATGAGAAACCCAAAGTACACATAAATTTAAGGGCAAAATAAAAGACAATAGGAAGCAGGGAGACAGACCTTTCTCAGGTGAGATCAGGAGGAGATGCAAAGGGGATGAGAAGAGGAGTAAAGATACGTTTGTGCACATGAACAACTCTACTCAAGGAATGTACTGCACACACGTACTGATTTTTTTAAAAAATATATTGAGAAGAAAGCAAGAAAGAAAATTGAGTTATTCACATTCAGATGTTTAAGTTCAGAGAAATCCACAGCCTGGGAAAGTAGGTCATATAAGGAAGAATTAGGTACCGGAGTACGTAACAGGTTGAACGTGTGACTTTGCAAAAGACGTGCAACCCAGATGGACAGTGAGCGGTGGGGGTAACCAGCAGGTCACGGAACGCAAAGCCTGGAAAGCCAGCAAACACCAGAGGCCTGCTGCCATTGTCTGTAGGACGTACAGGTTAAAACAGTGGTGAAAGTATGAAAAGAGGTAACGTCTGCAGTCTGCTAGTAGGAATTTCAATCCAGCAATCAGAAGAAACAATTCTGTAGTTTCTAGTGAAGTTTTAATTCACATACCCTACGACATAGCCATTGGAAACACAAAGTTGCAGTGTCATCTGGTATTACTCCTTCATTTTTGCTTTTAATGCGCTTTTACCCAGAAGTCTGTTGTGTCTTTCAGGATCGTGTTTGCTGACTTCTTCATAATGAATCTAATCCTCTGGGGAGAAGGATCGTCAGCAGCTATTCCCTTTGGCACACTGGTTGCCATCCTCGCCCTTTGGTTCTGCATATCTGTGCCTCTGACATTTATTGGTGCATACTTTGGTTTTAAGAAGAATGTAAGTTTTGAGGGGTTTTTTATGTCTTTTTGAGACAGGGTCTTGCTATGCAGTTCAGGCTGACCTTGAGCTCACTTTGTAGCCCAGGCTGGTCTTGAACTCACAATGATTCTCCTGCCTCAGCCTCCCGAGTGCTGGGATTACAGGTGTGTGCCACCATGCCTAGCAGAATGTAAGTTTATAGATACTAATTTATTCAGATGAATTTCATCTGTAGAAATTAGCATATGCCACCTTGAAAGATAGTATAAGTATCTAACAGATAAGAACTTGTCTTATGGAATCTGGACTTCATAGAAAATTCTTAAAATACTAGTGTTAGGCCAAACAGTGATGCATGCCAGTAATCCTAGCGCTCTTGAGAGACTGAGGCAGGAGGAGTTCAAGTTTGCGCCCAGCCTAAGTAATTTAGCAACTTAGCAAGACCCTGTCTAAAAGTGAAAAAAGAGCTAAGGGTGTAGCTCAGTGCAGAGGCCCTGAGCTCAGTCCCCAGTACTATTAAAACAGAAGAAAACAAAAAGCCTCACTAATATTAGGAATGGGGTAAAGAGGTATTACAGGTATATACTTTGATTTCAGAGTTTTTTAAGTAAGTAGAAACAAAAATAGATTAATTGGAAAGGAAATGCTGGTATAAAGTAATGAAAACTTGGCCTGGCATCCTGGTGCACCTCTGTAATCTCAGCACTTGGGAGGCTGAGGCAAAAGGATCATGGCCAGCCTGGGCTACTTAGTGAGTTTAAGACTAGCCTGAACTACATAATGAGATGTTGTCTTAAAAACCACATAGAGGCCAAGTGTGGTGGTGCACACCTGTAATTCCAGCACTCAGGAGGCTGAGGCAGGAGGATTGCCGCAAGTTCGAGGCTAGCCAGGGCTACAAAGTGAGTTCAAGCCCAGCCTGAAATGCATAGTGAAACCCTGTCTCAAAAACACAACAAAAAACCCGAATAGACACATAATAAACGGATAGGTAAATAAAAAAAAACTCTGAATTTTTGACATTATATACATTATTACCTTTTTTACCCTAAAAACATTACATTTTTCCTAAGTAGAAGTGTCACTAGTGCACAGTACTTAACTGTGTAAACAGATACTATGGTTTAGGAAATAACGCTGTTAGAAAAATGACCACAAAGTAAGAGTAGCACTTTTTGTTGTTGTTGGATACTGGGAATTGAACTCTGGACCTGGTGCTTGCCAGGCAGGCATGCTCTGCTGAGCTACATCCCTGGCCCTTGCACTTTCTTTTGGTGCATGGCTTTGAAATCAGTTGTACATGCTTACTTCCTAATACTTGATTTTAAGGAAGACTGCAGTCAAGGCTCAATCTTTCCTTTTTCTCTCCATCCCTGTCTCTACTGTGTGCTATTCATACTTCTGCTGTGTCTTCCTACCCTCAGGCTAGGAAGAAAATGAGAATTTATTTTGTCTCATCCATATCTGTCTCTTACTGCTGCCTTCTCTGTCTTTACTCCTACCCAAAAATATCAGATTCGCAAAGTTGAAAGAAATAACATGGGAGGGGCTAGGGGCGTAGCTCCGTGGTAGGGTGTTTGCCTAGCATGGAGGAGGCCCTGGGTTCCAGCTCTCACGCCAACGAAGAAAGTAAGGGGTGATAGTACATTTTGTGAGCAAGTCCCGAAGTGACCTAGCAGAGACTGTCCTGGCTTTGTAGTCTCCATGCACCTGTCATGTCAGGCCACTAAAAGATCTTTTCAATTCTTCGGTACTTGTTGAAATAATTATTTAAAATTTATGTATTATAAATAGTAAAAGAACAGAATTAGAAATTTTTAAAATTATGTAGATTAAATGTAAAAATTTCAACGCTATGCTGTCTATAAGTTAAAAATGGTTCACACTGAAGAATAATGTGATTATCTGCCTGAACATATGTGTATCTACATATAAAACAGTCTCGTCTGGAAATAAGATCTTAATGAAAATAGCAGGCTTTAAATTTTAAGTTATCATCACAAAACCTGTGGAAGGGTGTTTTTGAGCTCTTTTACATCTCTGTCCCTGCCCCCATGTAGGTATGTTTTGGTACTTCAGGTTGCAGGTATTTTTATACTACCACCTAGTGTGTCCTAGAAGGGAGAATGATTGAGATCACCAATACCTTATGGTCGGAAAGCTTCATGTAGCCTTTCATTGCCTTTTTCATGTTCTTGACTCCTAGTAAAATTGAGCAATTTAATAGGCATGTCATTGCCCACCTCCAGATTTTAAAAATGTCGAAAATATTTTAGAACCAGCTGATTTCTTACAGTAAGTATATAATTAAAAAGAGAAACCTAGCTCTACCTTTTTATCAACTATTATTTTCCAAGTACTGTGTTCTGTCCTGCGTATTTCCTACTTTGTCTAACGCTGTTGATCATGGGCTGCCTGCTGAAAGCGGTGGGGACTCGTCCCAGTAGACAGACTGGGCGTTGTAACTCAGTCGGTTCAGTGCTTCTAAATACAAACTTGATGGCTTAAGTAGACTTCCATTGCCATTCGTGTCGGCATGGAAGCTGAGGAAAGCAGGCCAGTAATCTCGTACTGAAAGCAGATAGGTAATTATGAATCCTTTCTTTCTCCCTTTCCTGAAGGCCATTGAACACCCAGTTCGAACCAATCAGATTCCACGTCAGATTCCTGAGCAGTCTTTCTACACAAAGCCCTTGCCCGGTATTATCATGGGAGGGATTTTGCCCTTTGGCTGCATCTTTATACAGCTCTTCTTCATTCTGAATAGCATTTGGTAAGCCAAGAATGAAGCCTTACTCTTGTTACCATTCCATGTACTACTTGCGGGGGGGCGGGTGTTTGTTTTGCTTTTGTTTTTAGTCTATGGATAACTGTTTGTGTCTTCCAAATGTGAGCAATTCTATAATATACAACACTGGTAACAGCCAACAGCCTGTTTTATCTTTCCTGTGGGATAAAGAATAATAGTGGTAACAGCTAATATTAGTCAAAAGCTTATTCTTACTCCTATTTAATTTTTATTACTTTCCAGAATTCTAACAGGTAGATATTACCTCATTTTACAGAGATGAAAGTAAGGTTTTGGAGCTTGAGTAATTATGCCACATAGCTACCAGGGGACAGAAAGTTAACTCAAGTCTCTCTAAACCCATATTCTGAAATAATCTGGGTGCTCCAGAGAGATCCTGATCCTCTGCATCCTTGTTAGAAGGATCGGAGCAAGAGTTGATACAGATGACCTTTGCATCCTTTCCTGTCCCAGCATGCCTTCATTCTGACTTGGTGTTCCCATGGAGAACTTGTAGTGGCAGTTTTGAGCCACTCTGTTAGGTGTAGGTACGTTATGTAGTAGTATGTTATTATTTGATTACCTTGACCTATGTTACAGACAGGACCAGCATTTGAAATACCATAAAATTAGAACTGCATTTGAGCTTTTTTTAGTGATTAGAATATCTTTTCAGTTGTAGTGGTTTTCCAAATTCAACTTTTTTATCGCATGTGATTAGAAACCATATGTGTCAGCGTAACCGTTTCCTCATTTGTCCCTGCCTTTCCGTTAAGTTCTTATCAAATATGTCTGGCTCCCCAGTAGACAAGTAGACTAACCATACCGGAATAAAAAGGAGTGTCGGGTTCTGCCTGATCGAAAAGTAAAATCCAGTAACATGGCCATGTCCCTCCTCTTCTCCGCACCATGCCCACCCCCACTCCCACTCCCACCCTTCAGCATCAAAACCTATGAAAATTGGACTGGTTTGGTTAGTTGGAGGAAAAAGCAACTTCCAGTCCAAGAAAAATGAAGAAACTGTCATTTAGCGTGTGAGAGAGAAAATACTTAGTGTCATCTTGATGTGTTTGATTATAGGTCACACCAGATGTATTATATGTTTGGCTTCCTGTTTCTGGTGTTTATCATTTTGGTTATTACATGTTCTGAAGCAACTATACTTCTTTGTTATTTCCACCTATGTGCAGAGGTATGTATTAACAATTCACTTGTTAATTCACAGACAGTATTTATAACTTTGGCATATTGCAACTTGACAGTTATTGAGATAATTTCTGTAGATGCATATATGTGATAGAAATTGGCCTATATTCCTAAATCAAATGTGGCCTTCTAGGATTGAGTGAAGTTCAGTTTGGGTATGTTTATTTAGAGCTTATGGATAGAGACTGTTTTGTTTTGTTTTGTTTTGTCTTGGGGGTTTTTTGTTTTTTGAGATGGGATCTTCACCGTGTAGTTCAGGTTGGCTTTGAAGTCACTAAGTAGTTGAGGCTGACCACAAACTTGTGGCAATCCTCTTGCCTTAGCCTCCCAAGTGCTGGAATTACAGGCGTGTGCCACTATGTCCAGCTTTTGAAATCTCTTTTAGAGACTTTAGAATTCTAATTTCCTGAGAATAATGTGCTCTGTTGAGTTTTACAGTAAAACTTGATATTCTGGGCTGAGGATGTAGAGCGCTCACCTAGTGTCTGAGAGCTAAGTTCAAAACCTCAGCATAGACGGGCTGTGGTTGTGCGTGCCTGTAATCCCAGCACTCAGGAAGCTGAGGCAGGAGGATTGCTGTGATTTCGAGGCCAGACAAGGCTCTATAGCAAGTTCAAGGCCAATCTGAACTGCATAGTGAGACCCTGTCTAAAGAAACAAAAAATAAACAAACAAAAAAAAACAGCACTGAAGGAAAAAAAAAGACTAAAAAGTTTCTTGTTCATAGATACTTCCAGATTCTGAAAATTTAGTAAGAGTAATTGATATGTGTGAAAATTCATTGGAAATGTTCAAGTGATTACTTTGTAATGAGTTACATTCATGGCAACACCAAAATTATTACATCCGTGTGTAATAAAGTTGATTTTTAAAGATTTAGCTAGTTAAATCATTTCTTTTATAGTGATTTTTTATATAAAAGATAGTTTGTTAAACTGAGTATGACATTCTTAAATTGAAATGAAGTTCACGTAGCATGAAACTAACCATGTCACAGGGAAGAACGCATGGTGCTTACACATTTACCGCCGTTTGGAACTCGGGCTCTCACACACTAGGCAGGTGCTCTATATCCTCAGCCCAGAATATCAGTTTTTACTGTACAGCTCAACAGGAAATTCAGCAGAGCACATTATTCTCAGGAAATTAGAATTCTAAACTCTCTCTCTGGTTCCAGAATATTTTCATTCCCCCTCCTCACATAAAACCATTTCCTTCTTCCCACAGACTTCGGCAGCCACCAGTCTGCTTTCTGTCTCTGAAAGCTAAACCTATTCTGGTTACTTCTTATTAATGGGATTATACAATATATCGTCTTTTGTGTTTGGTTTCTTCCACTTAGAATTCTTTCTAGGTTCACCTGTAGCACATATACTTCACTCCTTTTATGATTGTGTAATATTCCATTGTGTGTGTATAACAACATGTGTATATATTCATCCATTGAAGGACATTTAAGTCATTTGCACCTTTTGTCCATTATAAATAATGCTGCCATGAGCATTCATGAACAACAGTTAGTTTTTGTTTTTTTTTTCAGTTCTTTTGGATGTATACCTAGGAATGGAATTGCTTTGTCCTGTGTTAATTCTTTAATGTTTTGGAGAACCACCATATTCACATTCCCCCTAGTGATGTCCAGAGGGTCTAGTTTCTCTGAGTCCTTGCCTAAACTTATATTCTGTATACTGTTTTTTTAGTTTATTATTATAGCTGTCCTAGCTGGTATGAAATGATACCTTGTTTGATTTGCATTTTCCAGTGACTAGTAATACTGATCATTTTGTCTTCTGTGGGTGGGTCATTTGTCCATCTTCTTTGGAAAATGTGTACTTCAGTTCTTGGCTCATTTTTATTTTTATTTTTATTTATTTATTTATTTTTTGGTCTTTTCTTCCGGTACCAGGAATCGAACTCACGACCTTGCACTTGCCAGGCAGGCGCTTTGCCGCTGAGCTAAATCCCCAGCCCCTTGGCTCATTTTTAAATTGGGTGAATTGTCTTTCTGTTGGGTTCTAAGAGTTCTTTGTATATTCTAGATGTATAGGACCCTTATCAAATACATGATTTACAAATACTTTCCCCCATTCTGTAGGTTGTGCTTTACTTTCTTGGTGACCTTTACACAAAAGTTTTTAATTCAATGAGGTCTAATTTAACTTCTGTTGTTCATACTTTTGATGTCATATCTAAGAATTTATTGCCAAATTCAAGATTAGGAAGATTTACCTCTGTGTTTTCTTCTATATTTTACAGTTTCAACCTATATATGTAGGGCACTGATGCATTTTGAATTAATTATTGTGTGTAGTTTGAGGTAGAGGTCCGACTTTAGTCCTTTGAATGTGGATATCCAGTTTTCCCAGCACTACTGGTGAAGAAACTACTCTTTCCTTCTTGAACAGAATTAGCTACTCTTGAAAATCATTTGACCATAAATGTGTGGGTTTATTTCTGAGTTCTCAGTTCTAATCTGGTCGCCTGTCTCTATACTCACACTAGTACCACGCTTCTGACTACCAGAGCTTTTGTAATAAGCTTTGAAATACAGGTGGATGAGTCTTCCAGCTTTGTTCTTTTTTCAAGATTATTTTGGCCATTTAGAGCCCCTTCAATTCCATATGAACTTGAGGATCAGCTTCTCTACTTTGGGAAAAGTTTGGTAGGGAAACTTGGGAAGTTTGATAGGGATTGCACTGACTCCCTAGCTCACTTTGGAGATGCTGCCTTCTTAACAGTATTAGGTCTTCCAATTCCTGAGCATGGAGTGTCTTTCCCCTTAGGCCCTCTGTAATTTCTTTCAGCAATGTTCTGTAATTTTTAGCATGTGAGTCTTTCATCTCCTTGGTTAAATTATGTCTTCTTTAAGTTGTTCACTGCTGGTGTATAAACATGGGGTGCTGGGAGCCTGTATTTGAGACAGGCCTTACTAGGATAATCCTTCTGGTACAGAGTTGACTAGACTTTAACATAATTAATACAAACTTTGAACCATGTAAGCTTTTATACATTGCTTATCCTTGGGAATCACAAAATTTTATTTATAGCCAAATGCTTTATTACTCATAAACTGTTTAATATTTTGCTTCACATTTTTAGCCAATTTTTAATAGCTTCACAATAACTAAGAGATGCTTCTTAGTGCCTTTAGTGAGGCCGGAAGTACACAAAATTTAGTAGAAGCCAGGGGTTGGAACTGATGGCAAAAATGAGGTTTGGGAGCTTTCGTTAGGTGTGTTTGCTCTGTAACTTACGAAGCTACGTGTTTCCTAATGGTGGGGAAGTAATTCTTGCTGTTTAATTACTTTTTTCTCTGCCTAGGATTACCATTGGCAGTGGCGTTCATTCCTCACCAGCGGCTTCACTGCGGTGTATTTCTTAATATATGCAATACATTACTTCTTTTCAAAGCTGCAGATTACAGGAACAGCAAGTACAATTCTGTACTTCGGGTATACCATGATAATGGTTTTGATCTTCTTTCTTTTTACAGGTAAGATTATTTTTAGCTAAAAAGATGTTTACACAATTAATAAATATTTTCCCTTTAAAAAACCCTTGCAGATTTCTTTTATTCAGTGCTCCTGTGCTTGGCCCCCAACACTGAGTGTCACGGTTTGGTGCGGCCTCCTGTGCAGTGCAGCTCTGTGACGGTGATAGAGGGGATAAACAGAAATCAGGGAAGAAGGCCAGCAGAGTCCACGTTGCTGACCCAGAGCAGCCGGCCTCTCGCCCCTCAGTGGCGTGCACGCGCTCTGTGCCCTCTCAGAGTGGCCTAGTCATAGGGGGACACTGAGGAGTTGACCAGGTGGTGCCGAGAGGGTGACATTAAGAAAAGACAGTAATAGGACAGTCCTCATCCTGGAAGTTGGAACTGGAAGTTTGTAGTTGCACTCTAGAACCAAAGCTCCTGATTGTATGTCATGTGTATTAGATGGACGTTTACTTTATATATATATGTAAAGCCCGAGTTTAACTGGAATTTTGGAGCCACAACAAATTGAATTGATAAAGGTATTCGGTCTCAGCACCCAGTGTGCGCTTGGTTAACAGCTGAGGACTAAGTGACTAAGCTGAAAAAAAGAACATTATGGGACCTTTCTCTGCATAAAAAAGTAACATTATACAACATGTGCATCTAAAACTGTGTTAGAGAGGCCGGGGATATAGCTCAGTGCATGGGCGTCTGCCTGGCAAGTGCAGGGTCCTGAGTTTGATTCCCAGTACCAAAAACAAAATAAAACTGTATTAGGATTGTCACGCATGTTGTGTGAGAGGACGTAGGAACCAAAAAGAAACAAAATTTGTGTCTATTAGGGATGTTTTACCTTTACTCCTGCGTTAAAGCTGAAGAGCAGAGGTAGCATGAGGTGGGCCTTCTGCCATCTCAGTGTGCAACAGGCTGCAGGCACTTGGGCATCTCGGGATGGTGCGTTTTAGGGTCACAGCCGTAAATGTTCATGAGTGGGCTGTAAGACAGCACTGGCTTACGAAGCCAGGAGTTGCTGTCTTTGTGAGTCTCTCTGTGTGACCATAAATGCACGTATAGAAATGATAGCCTAGCTGTCACCTAAAGTTTATTGTTGATGGCTTTTAACATGTCACATTTTCATTCATTTATTAAACCAATTTTATAATCTGATTTCTGGAGCCATATCAAATGGAATCAGGCGGTGAACACAGTAACGTCTCCTGCATTTCATTTTGTGGAAGCGATTTTGTTTAAGAGTGGGGAGCCAGGCGGGGCTACACACACCTGTAATCCCAGCACTTGGGTGGCGGAGGCAGGAGGATCACAAGTTTGAGGCCAGTCTGGGATAAGTAGTGAGTTCAAGGCCAGCTGAAATACATTGCAAGACTCTGTCCCAAAACTCACCAGAAACCAACAGAGTGGAGCGCCGCAAAGCCTGTTTTTCTGTGGGCGGCTGTTTCTGTATTGGCTTGAGAACTCCAGGCTGATACCATTTGGTTTCACAAAACAAAATCCTTTTTTTTATTTTGTTTTTCTGTTTTTGAGACAGGGTCCCACTCTGCAGTCAGACTGGCCTTCAACTCACTTTGTAATCCAGAATGGCCTCGAACTTGCAGTGATCTCCTACCTCAGCCTCCCGAGTGCTGGGATTACAGCCGTGTGCCACCATGCTCGGCATAACAAAACTCATTCTATAAAATGAGAGTAATTATTCTGTATGCTTAGGAAAGATGTCACTTTTTTTATTACACTGTGTCCTGTGGGTGTGCCAGGATAGTAGTAATAAAAAGTTTTTCTCAGAAAGGAGGAATAAGAGAAGGAAAAAGACAAAATTGTAGATGATGTGGTTGTGCTAGTGCGGCCCACTATAACTGTTCTTCCATATTGTATGTAAGGAAAATAAAATACTCCCCTATGTAAAAGCATACATATTTTCCTCATCCTAAAATATAATCTCCTCCGTGCACAGGACTCTTTAAATATATTTGTTTTTTCACCGCTGGTTTTATAAAATTAACCCCAGCCTCTCCTCAAGGCCTTTGTGACCCTTTCGAGGCTGCAAAAGGCACCCTGCGTCCTCCCCAGTGCATGGGCCCGGCGCCTTGCAGGGCCTTCGTGTGGCTGAGGCTCAGATGTAGTCACAGCTGGCGTTTCCAGAGCTCTTTCAATTTAGAACATCTCCTTTATTGCTCTTTCTGTGCATTACCTGTGTGACAGTATTAAAAAGCAAATGTGCACGTATGGGGAAGGAGCATACCCTTCCTCTTCTGTGTGCATCTGTGTTTTTTTTGGTGTGAGTTTCTCAGAGGTTAATCCTGGATAAAATGGTATTTCTCAATTTATTTTTAAATTGTCAGGCAGTTTTACAACTTAGTGTACATTCTTTTACAAAATAGTCTTTTAAAAAAAATTTTTTTTTTGAGACAGGGTCTCTAGTTCAGGCTGGCTTTGAACCCACTACAAAGCCAAGGCTGGCCTCAAACTCATAGTGATCCTCCTGCCTCAGCCTCCCTAGTGCTGGGATTACAGGCCACCAATCCTGGCAGTCTCTAAATTTAAAAGTGTACTTCATTGGAAATCAGAAAAGAGCCACAATGCTTGAGACAGTTACTTAACCCTTTTTAGCTTCATTTTTGTCACATTGAAAAGTGTCCCCAGCTAACATTCAAATTTTTTACTTCTAATTGGATGAAGATCACTGAAAATAAGACATTTTTTGCATGAATTGTGTCGTTTACTCTGCATCGCAGTGTTCAGAGGTGGCTAGGGCCCATCAGCTCCTGTCTAGCAAGATAAAGAAGCAGGCTTGTCGATGTCCGTTCACTCTCCTGTGGACTGTGTGCGTGTCTCACGGCGGAGCGCTCTGTGCTCTGGTACTGGGCCACCTGTCACTTCCATCTCGGGGATGTCATTGGTATATCACTTGTAACATTTTGCAAGAACTTGCTTTTGCATTGTTCTATTTTTAGTATAATTCTTTAAAAACATAACTTCTAATAACTCAGGAAGTATCCCCTATTTAATTATTCTTTGAATCTGAGTAATTAAGCGTGTATTTTTATCATACCTTGAAAAAATTTTAGTAGCGGTTTCATTTTGTAATAAAATACTCTTAGAAAGGAAAGGAGATTTGGCAGTCTTTTCATTTTTTAACTCAATCTTGTGTATTTAATAAGGAAAATAATGTATATTATGGAAAGCTTAGGTAATCTTACAGTATAAAAAATTGTATTTTTTTGTAGGCAGTTTGATTTGAAGTAGTTTTATATTTTTCATAAAGCCATGGGCCTGGTATTTTAATAATAGCTTAAAGCTTTGGGATGTTAAAGGAACCAGTCACTTAAAATGTGCATGTTGGTATAACTTAAGAACTTTGCTTAAAAATGTATTTGTTTTTGTTTTTTCTTTTCTAGGAACTATTGGCTTCTTTGCATGCTTTTGGTTTGTTACCAAAATATACAGTGTGGTAAAGGTTGACTGAAGAAACCCAGTGTGTCCAGTAAAAACAGAAATAAAGTTCTTCATCCACAAAGACCTGTTTTTGTGACTACCTTGGGTTTTGTCAGACTTACTGGCCTAGTAATCCTACGAAACAACACGCTTCTACATACACCTCTTCCCGTACACCTGTCCCCACAAAACGTGTGTTCAACACTAAAGCGTTTGTGTTGTGATTCAAGTATATATTCAGTTGTTCTCAATGAAGAGCAAATTTAAATATTATGTGCATTTGTAAATATAGTAGCTATAAAGTTTTCAATACTTTTCATGGCAGAATAGAGGAGGCCATAATACTGGTGAAATGCAGGACAGTTCATTGTAAATAGGATTTTCTAGGCTTGGTAGGTGGAAAGAATTATTTTTCTTTGAAGGAAATAACTTTTTATCATGGTAATTTTGAAGGATGATTCCTATGATGTGCTCTCTGGGGGAGTGTGGCTTTTAAAGATCTTGTGTTGGTTGTAACTGTTCATATCTTCTTACTTCTCTGTGTTGACTTCATTATTCCCATGGTATTGGCCTTTTAAACTATGTGCCTCTGAGTCTTTCAATTTATAAATTTGTTACCTTAATAAATATTTAAAAACATCATTGCATCCTTACCTGTTATATATTCAAGGAGCTCATGTAAATACAGATCTATTGATAAGGGTATTTTAAGCTGATTTGGATGATTTTGTCAGATTTATCAAAGTTTTGTTCATGTATATCACTGAGTTTGATGTAAATGAAATTGGGTCTGGATTTCATTTCACTGTAATCTCAGTCTTGGGCTTTGTGTCTGGTCCACAAGTGTCCCTGTGAGGCAGTGATACAACTTTAGTCAGGTAAGTGAGGTAAGTCTAGGACTTCCTGTGGGCCTTACTTACATTAGTATCCTTAAGGATGTTATGTTTTTGAGTTGTTTTTCAAAATACAGTACTTTGTAATCCTTTAAAAATCAGGTTTTATGATCTGTGCATAAGTGGTGATTAGCATATCTACATCTTTACATTGTTTAAATTTGGATTTCACAATTTTTTTAATAGAGCCAAGAAATCACTACTGCCTTTTCATATTCATCTGACTGAAATCTGTGGGAAATACAGACATTTGAGATGGTTTCAGAGATATCAGTCTGCTCGTGTCTGTGAAACTGTTTGTATTGAGGGGCACCATGCTTGCTGCTTATGACAACAAATCAGACATTATCATTAAACTTAGAGCTAAAATTTCTAGCTGTTGTTTATATGATTTTGCTGGGTTCCTGCTGAATAATTTTCTGTCACTATCTAAAGCTGTTGGGTTTACAGCTCTAGTTATTTTCAATCTCATACAGGAGGGTTAAAGTTCTTTGGAAGATTTTTTTAGTATCTTTTGCAGTGTAAAGGTAGCATTGAAATAGACTGGTTGTCCAAACAAAGGTTTTAATTTTAAAAACAGTTGATTCAGGCACCAGTTTAGTTTTGTTGGATCAAAGTTAAATTTCTTTAATTTTTCCTTCAGTGAGCAATGAAGGATTTAAATTTAGCTTTATTTTGATCTTGGGGATATTTGCATAGACTTTACCAGTTGAGCATCTTAATATGAAAACCAGAAATCCAAAACTGTCTTTTTCTTTGCTTTTAAAATTTTTATTTGTACATTTTAGATATACATAATGATAACATTCATTGTAGAGAATTTGTACCTGTATATGATATATATTGCTTCTTTTTTTCCCTCAGGAAATCTAAAACTTTCTGAACATCATGTCACCGCTCAAAAAATTTTGGATTTCTGGGCTGGGGTGTAGCCCAGTGGTTGAGTGTTCACCTAACATATCCAGCACCCTAAGTTTGATCCCATGACCAAAAATAAAAAGTATTTTAAATTTTTGAGCATTTTAGGTGTTCATGTTAGGAATGCTCAACCTGAGTGCTAGAGGAAGGGCTGGCGATGTGGCGCAGTGGTAGAGTGTCTGCTTAGCATCCCCCAACCCTTAGGTTCAGTCCCTAGAGCCCTCCCAGAACGGAAATTGAGAAAGAGGAACGCAAGAAAGGAGTGACAAGGACAGTGAGACAGGAGGGCCATGGAGGAAACAGCCTCTTCTCTGGGACTTTGGTCAGGACTGGCCCGTGGCCAGCCACCGTGCTCTGCTTAGGAAGCTCTCCAGGACAGGAAAGTGCATCCCGCTTCTGGCATGTGAGGCAGAACCTGCAGGCCGATGGGCCTTTCACCTTCATTTAAATGTGGCCCAGAGCAGATCTGATCATGAGCTATGAGCATCTCGGAGCCCGAAGGATGTCTTTTACAGGAGCCCTGGCAGCTGAGAGCAGCTGCAAAGCACAAGAGCACCTGCAGTGACAACTGGAGGTAGTTCAGCTTGTTCCCTTATGTCTCGGGCCATTGCTAGAGAGCTAGATGTTCTGCAGGACTGTCCCGAGCACTGTGTAAAGAAAGCAGCACTTTGTAACTCTCTCCAGGTTGGTCTCAAACTTGTGACCCTCCCACCTCAGCCTCCTGAGTGCTTAGATTACAGGTGTGTACCACCACACCCAGCTTCTGCTACATTTTAAACAGCACAGAAGCCGTCTGACCTTTCTCTGCCTGCTAACACTCATGTCCCTAAGGTTCTGCTGGAAGTTCTGTTACTGAGCTTTCCAGTACCCGCTGAAACCCCACCCACGGGTCACCTCTCAACTCGGATTTTACTGGTTCTTTGTTGTCCCGACACACAGTCCTGAAAACCTTGTACCTAAAGCTGTCTTTCTCAGAGCTCGAGTCACATGCTTAGTATCCCAAAGAGTGTCACCAGCATGTTCTGGAGAAGCGCACTAAAATGGGAGACGCGGTGCTTGTCAGGTTCTTCAGATTCTGCGCATCTTGCAGGGGAGGGGAGGCCAGGCCTCCATCTCTGGCTTACCTTTTCCTTGGTGTTCTGTGCCTAGTTTCACCCCTTTATGTAACCATAGCCTTCATTTCCACCTGTAGCCGCCTGTTTGCCTAATAACTGCAGTGCTCCCCAGGTGCCTCAGGCTCATTATGTACAGACGTGAGCTTCTGCATCCCAGACTTAACCCTCACCTAGTTCATCACCGGAGCCAGAGCCTTCACCTGAGCCTAATTGCCTGGCCCCTGCCTGCAATTAGCCAGCAAGTTTTGTGACCAACTCTCACTGGCCTGTGTTAGGGTTTAGAGGAACCGAATCAATAGAAAATCTTTGTGTATAAACACAAGGGGATTTATTAGGTTGGTGGGTCCAGAGGGGCGGGAGAGTCTACCTGGCCATCTGCATGCTGGAGAGCCAGGGGGTCTGGTAGCAGCTCAGCCCAAGATGAAAGCTGCAGAACGGAGGGATCAAGGGTGTAGAAGGCCCGGAAGCTCCCTGGAGAGTTAATGGTGAGAGTGCGTTAGAAGGCTGACGAAACTGAACCAGTGTCCAGAGGCAATAGCAAAAGACTCACTGAAGACCAGAGCTCTCCAAAGAAACGGATGAACTTCTGTTTCTTTCCTTTTTTATTCTGTCCAAGCTACAAGCCTATTGGCTGGACCCACCCATCATGCAAAGAACTTTCCCCCCTCAGTTTGCTGATCTGCACACCAGCCATGTTCACAGACACTCCGAACTGCCTTACTGATCAGCTAGGCTTGCTAATCCGGTCAAATTGATACGATCAGTGTTTGTAATCCCCCATTATCCACTTCACAGCCAGGCACATCTTCAACCATACTTGATCTCCAAATGCAATAGAAAGTTGGTGGTTAAACCTAATGTGATACAAATATTCTGCAAATGAATGGAAACAGTAATTCCTTCCCCAAAGTAGAAGGCAATTTTTCTTTGGATGATGCTTACTCTTTTCTTGCCACTTCATGACTTAAAGGTTATAATGTAAATTTAACAATACTTAAGTACCAATATTAATGTTGTATTACAAAGAAGATTATATATATATATATATATATATATATATATATAAACAAACCCAATATGAGAATCATGACAACTACAACCTGCATCTTTGTAACTGGGCATGTGGTTGAAGGTGGTATTTATAACTATCTTCTACCCATTCTTTATTCCCTGGCCCTTCAGCAACCACCTTGCATTCAGGCCAGCAAACTGGGGTGAGGAAGTCCCACTGTAGTTATGGGTGGCTCCAGCCAGTGGGCTTCATCTGGCAGGGTGGCCCATACCTTCATTCCTAAAGGTTAGGGGCCATTTGGCATCCTGCCTGGGTTGGGTTGTTTCCTACTGACCTAGCAACAGCATGATAATATTAAGAGATGTCCCAAGGCATCAGTCCCTAACCTCTCACACCAGGGACCAGTTTCGCAGAAGACAATTTTTCCATAGACCAGGGAGTGATTTTGTGAAGACTAAAGCCCACTATCTTCAATGTGCACTTTATTTCTTTTTCTTTCTTTCTTTTGGTTTGGTTTCGTTTTTTTGTTTATTTGGTTTGGTTTGGGTTTTTGAGATAGGGTTTCATTATTATAGTTCAGGAAGGCCCTGAGTTCCTCCCTCAAGCCTCCTGAGTGCTGAGATTGCAAGTACGTGCCATCATGCCCAGCTTTTACTTCTTAATTACTATTAGTTTATAGTATAAAATGAAGTAATCACAACTTACCATAATGGAGACTTAGTGTGAAGTAATTATATAGCTTACTATAAAGCAAAATTAATGTGAGCTCTGATTTTATTTTCCTTCAGCCGTACACAGCAGGCTTGAACAGTGTGAATCAGCTGTTGCACTGAAGTAGGACTCAGCGTTTCCTTTTAAGCGCAACTTTCTTTTTCCAGTCTTGTGCTGCCTTATCCTTGGGTCTTTCCCTCTTTTTAAAGATGTCCAGTGATGTTTGTTTCTTACCCATTTTTCCTTCGGATAGCTTGGGGGTTACCAAAACTGTGACCTTGACAAGTGTGCAATGTGGGAAGGAGTTCTGATATGAGTCTGCAACCCACTGACATTATGGACTCTGCAGTCAGACCTTTCTGTTAATGTTAGTATGCATTTGCAGCTGCTCCCCAATACTAGCATCACTGTCTCAGTTCCATTTCAGATTATAAAGCATTAGATTCTTACAAGGAGGACAACCTAGATCCCTCAAATGCTCAGGTCACAGGAGGGTTCTTGCCCGTATGAGAATCTAATGGTGCCACTGATCTGACAGAGGTAGAGCTCAGGCAATGAGGACAGCCATGGGAGTGGCTGTAAATACAGATGAAATTCCTCTCGCCCACCCCTCATTTCCTGCTTTACATCCTGGTTTCTAACAGGCCGCAAACCAGAAACTGTCTGTGGCCCAGACAGCCCCTCCCTTAAGCAACTTTATTTATTTTCTCAGTGCTGGAGGCTGGATGTCCAAGATCAAGGTGACAGTAGTTTGGCTCTTCCTGAGGCCTCATTTGCTTGTTGGTGGTCACCTCTATATGTCCAAATTTCTTAAAAGGAGGCCATAAAGACTGATTAGAACCACCCAGATGAACTAATTTCACTTTCGTTATCTCCTTAAAAGCCCTATCTTCAAGTATAGTTGCATTCAGAAGTCCTGGGAGTTAGGTTTCACCATATGAATGAGGGGAAGGGAGAGGTTTAGCTCATGATAATACACTTTCTTCTAGT